TATTAAAAGAAAATTCACAGTATAGTATTTGTAGTATATAATTTTATTTTAAAGTAAAAAAACTACTAATTGGAATGAGTTATAACTTTTTCTTCTTCTAAATAAATATATTATTTTATTTTTTATTTGGATTTGTCACACTATCGATTAAATAAAATAAGTGAGTTTGAATTAAGTTATACATTTTTTTATATTTAATTGAGCATTATTTATATTTTTAAATGGTGGAGTTTATTAATACTTCTAATATTATATAATTAATGATAGATGTTTGGCGTATTGAACTGCAATTCTTTATATTTTTCAAACTTTATTTTATTAAATTTGTTAATAATTTATTTAATACCATTTAATAATAATGAATGTTGCAATTAATATTTGAATTAACAGTATTTATACAATTATGGTTAAATGTATTATAATAAGTTAATGTGCTTGGATGGTTAGGAGTGATAAATGTATTAAGAGGTCACAAGTTCTATTCCTAATGAATGTATTTTTTTCGATTATGTATCAAATAAAACTCGGTCACAATGAATTTAAATCAATTATTTAATTAAAATATAGTAGGGGGTAAATTAGACAATTCAATGTTAATCAATTTTATATTAATTTAATAAAAAAAGTAATCGAATGATAATTTGGTAAAGTACTTCATTTTTTAGAACATAAGTCATGTTATTTTCCTAGGGTCCAGATTTAATCTTAGAAAATTAATGGTGATTAATACATATCTCAAATAAGTTTAGAACATGGGTTGTCTGACCCTAGAAAGACCCTAATTAAATATGTGAATTATCCAACTTAATTAAATACTAACTGATTTCATTTAGTGTTTAATATATATACGTAATCTATAGTATTTTTACCATAAAATGATGTGTAAATATAATATCAACTTTGGGAAATTATAACTGAAATATTAAATGTAGTTTGAATTTTATTAATACATTTAGGAATTCGAACCCGATTTTAAAATATTTTTATTTTGATTTTGGCAAAATTCGAAACATGAAAACCGTGGTCCTTAGGGTTACCTTTTTAATGCAACTTAAATTAGCTAGATTGAATGCCGTGTGACAAAATTATGCATGCAATAATTCACATTTTGAATTTTAGATAATTTAATACATCAAAATTGTGGATTGTTCATTAATTATTGTGTATCCTTTTCATCCGACATCCGATTTTATTGATTTAAGTTGGATTAGATTTAACCGGATGATATGTTTGTTCAAAGGTTACTCAAAACACTCAAAAAAAAAAAATAAAAAAAAATTGGGACTTTTAATTGAATTTACGGTACCAATATAATTGTCTTATTTTGTGGATTAATTTAGACACATGAAAATAAATCAATAGAATTTACAAAAAAAAAAAAAAAAAATTATTCGTTTGCTCTCTTGACTTTCAACACACTTTATTATAAAAAAAATAAAAAAAACACGTGCGTTCGTTTTTTTTTTTTTTTTTTTAGTAAATTTAAGTTCATTACAACGGGAAGTAGGGGATTCGAACCCTAAACATTTATTCTATTGGTAAATACTAGGTACCAACTCTCCTAATAAATGTTGATCGAGCGTTCTTATTAAAAAAGAAATAATAATAATAATAATAATAATTATTATTATTATTATTATATTCTGTAAGTGGGAACTAGTTTCAAAGGCACCATCCTGCGCATAGTCAATCCCACCTTTTCACTCATATCCAAAGATTCCGGATTGATGATACCATCTCCAAGCTTCCAATCAAACGCGTGCACCAACGTGGCAAGTGTTAAGCTCACCATCCTGTGACCCAACGTCAGCCCGATACAGCTCCTTCGACCCGACCCGAATGGGAGCATCTCAAAATGCTGACCCTTAAAGTCCACATCCGAGTCCAAGAATCTCTCCGGTTTGAACGCAATCGGGTCGGCCCACGAACCCGGGTCCCTCTGTATTGCGTACGTGTTCACTAATATCTGCGTGTCTTTCGGAACAACGTAGCCCATGAATTCCGTTTCTTGCATGGAGTTCCTCGGCAGCAGCAGCGGGAAAACAGGGTGCAGGCGCATTATTTCTTTCACCGTAGCCTGTAAATAGGGCATGTTGTTCAGGTCAGTCTCTTCCACTTTACGGTCACGGCCCACGACCCGATCCACTTCTTCTCGGAGCTTCGCCATCTGATCCGGGTTCCGCATTAGCTCGCTCATTCCCCACTCCACCGTGCTGCTTGTCGTTTCAGTCCCTCCGAAAAACATTTCCTGTATATATACATTATATTATTTTTGAATATTTCTCATACGGACTGTCAAATTGGATTATAATTTCATAGTAACTATTTAATTAGGAGAATGACTACTAATGGGCATCGGTGGAAATAACGAAATAAATTATGGGAAAATAAAGGTTTTTTTACAAATACAAATTCTATTTGAGTGTGAAACTAAAACGAACTTTATCTCAAGCGAAATGGGCCAAGAAACAAAACTCGTGAGCGAAATTCATGAATCACGTTAGACCTCATTAATCCAGTGTCGTTTAGACTGCTAAAAATTCTTTTTTTTTTTTGCTATTTTAAGCAAGTTTTAGAAAAAAATAATATCAAATCATAGAAGAATCAAATTGAGATTCCGTAAACTGGATTGTTCACAAAATTACGACATCTACTAGAATCATGCTCTAACTCATTTTTTTGCTTTTTTTTGTTATTTATTATTTTCCTAATTTAATTAGAATTTTTAATTTTATTAGTATAAATAGCTCCCAATTTAATTTTAAAGAACTTATGAATTTCAATAAAAAAAAAAAAAAAACTCCATTTTCTGGTGGGTTCAAACTTTTCGGTGGAATCGGTGCTTTCGTACTGCGTCAGTTAAAACGACAAATAATTTACTAATAATTACTTACGAGGAGGAGAATGTTAATGTTCTTGACAGTGAGTTTTTCGGGTCCTTGAGCCACGTCATCACCTTCATCATCCAACAGAGCATCCAAGAAATCATGTGTTTCCTTCTCTTTCCCAGATTTCTTCTCTTCGATCCTTTCATTCACAAACCCAGAAGCAATCTCCAGCAATCTCTCCAGATACTTCTCACTGTTCCTCCGGATCCTTTGCGGGTCGACCCATTTCAAGAACGGCACGAAATCCGCAATATTCGGCTTCCCGATCCACTCCAAGAACGTGATGAACAAATCAAAGAACTCGCTGCTCACCTTCTCCTTCGACTGGACCACGTCTTTCGACAGCATGATATTACCGATCGCGTTGAAAGAAGTGACGAACAGAAACCTGTCCAGTCGAATCCCCCCGCCGGAATATTCCTTCTCCGATTCCTCCTTGATCCACCCCACCAAATCGTCTATGCACTTCTGCCTCAGCTTCATCGAAGCGTTGACCCTTTTGTGGACGAGGAATTCCGTGGTGCAGATACGGCGTAACTTCCTCCAGTAGGCGCCGTAGGCTCCGATGGCGACGGAGCCCTTGTGGTAGTCCAGGGCGGTGAGGGAATCCGGCACTTTCCGGTCGGCGTAAGGGAGGTCGTATTTCTTGAAGAGCTCCGCCGCAGCTTCAGCTGATTGCACCACCATGGTGTTGATGGCGCCGAGTTTTAGCAGGATAACTGGGCCGTACTTGGGCGTGAGCTTCTGTAACGTCTGGTGGGGCACTTCGCCGAGATCGAACATGTTTCCGATCAACGGCCAGCCTGGTGGGCCCGGCGGAAGGCGGCGGCGGTTGGAGCCGGACCCATTTTTGAACTTATTTGAGAACAATTTAAAAACCAGGAGTAATGCGAAGAAGGAAGTTATCCATGGGAGTAATATGCTACTAATCCAGGCCATTATTTTTTTGTTGTGGATGAAAGTGTTTGATAAAGTTATCTATATATACATATTTTATATCTGTATCTATAGTATTGAGTTCCGTTGTGCAGTAGAACCTCGATAAATTAATAATCTCGATCAAATAATAGTTTCTTTCGGTCCTAGTTTAGTGAAAATGTATTAAATTATTAACTCGATAATTTAATAATTTACTAAATTAATAGAATTTCCATAGTCTCGGCTGTATTAATTTATAGAGATTTAACTCTATCCGGTCAGTTTTCAGATTATGGAGTTTAAATTCTCATTGGATGGGTTAGCTATTTTGAAATAATTGGCCCCATTCATATTATGCCACGTGGATTCCGATTATATTTGAAATGTGTATATTTTATTTTATTTTTGTGTAACCTAATTTTGAAATTGTTGTTTGATGAATAATTTGGAGAAACAATTTTATCTATCTCTGTATAGGGCTCATCGTTCATTGATATTAAATTCTACCGACTAAATAATTGTAATTAATAAGAAGTTTGATTTACAAAATATTAGTACAATATACTAATATTTTGTAGAAGTTAATAAATAATTGTAATTAATAAGAAGTTTGATTTACAAAATATTAGTACAATATACTAATATTTTGTAGAAGTTAATTAAAAAGGAAATTGACAATTTTGCCCTTCAAATTATATCTTTTTAAGTGCTTTTATAGAAATTTCCTTGGATTTTTTTTTCTAACTAAATGTCATTTTCTAGACAGCCGTGGTCTACCAATAACCATTAATGTAATTAGAGCAAAGTTGAAATTCATATTTTAATTTCATATTGGTTTGTAGACGTATGAAATTCATTTTGGTCAATTATGTTGAACGAAAATTAAATTAAATACTATTGTTGACTCACATCCTCTTTAAAATTAAAGATGGGATAGTTTTTCAAATTAAAGAATAAATATTTAAATATATGACAGCAACAATTGTAATAGGAAAAGTATGCTCAATTTATAATAGTTTAATAAGAACTCGTTCGCTTGTGACTTTTCTTTATTTATTATTATATTAATGTGTAATAGAAAAATGTATTAAAAAATAACTAATTTCAGGCTTATTGAGGCTTTCGTTGGTAGGTTCAAATTATTAAAAATTCTGGCCCAATAAGTATTCTTAAGTAAATAAGCCCAAAAGGCCCATTTAGTATATATGTAATCCATAGTAATTTCACCATAATATGATTTATAAATATAATATTAACTTTAGTAATTAATTAATTTATTTATTGCATCATTATTTTCACACAGACAATTCAATTTACACGTCAGCACCGGCGGCACAAACGTACGGAATCGGTACCGCCTTCAACGGAACAGCTTTTCTGAGTGTAATCCCCATCCTCTCGCCCATATCCATCTCCGCCGGTTTCATCCCGTCGGCCAACACCCAATCAAACGAGTGCAGAACCGAACCCAAGGCCAGCGGCAGCACTCGCGACGCCAGCGGCACAGCCGGGCAAATCCGCCGCCCGGAGCCGAAAGGTATGAACTCAAAATGGTGGCCCTTGTAATCCGCCGTGTTATTCGGGTCCAGAAACCTCTCCGGCCTGAATTCCAGAGGATCTTTCCAGGTTTTCGGGTCTCGCCCGATCGCCCAAACGTTGACCAGAATTTGAGTTTCTTTGGGAATGTGGTAGCCCATCATTTTGCAGGTATCCATGGCTTTGTGGGGGACTAAGAATGGTAGCGGTGGGTGCAGTCTTAGGGTTTCTTTTATTACTGCTTTGAGGTATGGGAGTTTTTCCAGGTTTTCTTCCTCCAGCTTTTTTCCGGCGGGGATTGTGGCTCTCAGCTCAGCCTGGACTCGGCGGAGGGTTTCGGGGCGGCGGAGGAGCTCCGCCATTGCCCACTCTAGTGTGCTGGTGGTTGTGTCGGTCCCCGCCGTGAACATCTCCTGCAACATATATTAATGTTAGCCATAAATTAAAGTATATATGTATATATATATGGTAAATTACGAAAAACCCCATTTAGGCTAAATAAGGAAAAATATCTCTACTTATCCGTAATTACTAAAATACTCGTCTGACTTACTATTGTTGACCGAGTTTTGTAAAAGAAAAATATGTATAGTCTATTATACGTTCTGTTAAATAAGTGAGAAATAAAACAAAATATCTGGAATTGTGTAAAGTCAATTCTTTGAAATAAAAAAGATTTCATGAAAAGTCACACTAAAGAAAGTTGGCATAAGACGAAGCAAGTAGTAGGAGGGTTTTGGTAATTACGAATATGTGGAGGTGATTTTCGTAGTTTAACCTAAGCTCAGGGGTGTTTTTGTAATTTACCATAAATAAAAATATATATATATGCAAGCTTACAAAGACGATGACGTTGATGATGGTTGAAGAGAAAATAGAAGGGACTGCCACGTCATCACCCCTGTATTCCAACAGTACATCCAAGTAATCTTTCTTCTTAATACTGATGGATTCTGCCACGTCATCACCACTGTTCTCCATCTCTCTTATTCTATCATTCAAGAAATCTCCGGCAACATCGAAAGCTCGTTTAACATGAAACTGGGTCCTCCTCCTTATGCGCTGCGGGTCCAGCCATCTCAGCGCCGGCAAGAAATCTGCCACGTTCGCCTTTCCGGCGAACTCCATCACCTTTCCGGCGTGGTAGAAGAATTTCGCCCCTCTCTCCGATTCCGGCCCCAGCAGATCCTTTGAGAACATCAGGTTTCCGATCAGGTTAAACGCCATCAAGAAGAAGAACTTGCCCACGTCGACACTACCACCGCCGCCGGCGGACGACGCGTCTCTTATGTACTGCACCATTTGGTCGACACACCTGGCGCGGACGCCGCGCATGGCGTCGAGGGGGGCGGCGGCGAAGAACTCGGCCGTGCAGAGGCGGCGCAGGGTCCGCCAGTGATGGCCGTGCTGGGCGGTGATGAGGGAGCCCTCGTTGCCGATGTCACCCTTCATGGACTCGTAAATCTTCCTTCCCGCCAAAACGGCGTCGTGGTTCTTGAACATGACACGCGCCGCCTCGCTGGAGGAGACAACCACCGTGGTCATGGAGCCGAGGTGGAGAGTCATCACGGAGCCGTGCTGCTTGGCCAGCTCGGCGAATGACCGGTGAGGAGCCGACGCGCTTCCTGCAGCAGCTAGCTGTAACATGTTTCCCACCACCGGCCAAGCCCGTGGACCTGGCGGCAGCCGCCCTAGCTCCTCCAGCCGGCGGTGTCTCCGCTCTGTCACCACCGCCCATGCCGCCCACAGTAGCAAGGCTAGAACAACGCCGGCAACTTCGTAATCCATTATTTGTTAATCAAATTTAGATTTCTTATTTAAGTTACTACGCCGAATTGAAGTAGTAAATTAAATAGGGAACTTAATGATTTTTCCGTGATGAACTGTACAAGATTTAAACATGCAATCAACCTTAGATAATAAAGATGTTAGAACTATGATAGTTCGTGTAATTAGGACACAAATTAAAAACCCTAGTCCAGAATATTATATTAAGAGAAACTAAAACTGACCTGATACCATGCAGAACTATAGAGAATCTAGAAGCTTTTGCTTAGCTTGCTTAAGTTTTTTTTTTTTTTTTTTTAGCTATATCATTTCTCTCTCGAGAAAAACAAGACTTAATATAGAGTAGTAGTTTGTACCAAGGTTATGTTTTCTTGCAGAGCTTGTTACATCAAATTAAGTGACTAATTTGTCCTGTTTATAATTTATGCAAATTTTTAAGTGTTTTTTGTAGGCCAAGAGTAATTTGTTTTAAACAAGAAAATGCCAATGTTGTCAGAATCAGACTGGATTGGCAGGTAGAACAGATTCGACCGCAATCTGACCTTTAAAACCGGGGTGAAATGACCAAAACCCCATTCGTCCGATCGGGTAAACTTCTAAAACCGGCGATCTGGTTAAAGAACTCGATTTTCGGTCAAAACAACTCAAACCACCGATAGAGTTGGTTATTTGTGGTTGGATCTTAGCGAGCCTTGACGGAATTGGTTGTGGATGACCAGATCTGATCATTAGTGGCAAAATGAGGTGGTAGATTATCGGATCTCGAGAAGAAAGAATGACAACATATAAAGTGAAAACAAAAGAAATATAGTAAAATATGGGTGAGGTGGATAAAAGCGAAAATAATTGAAGGGGTATTAAAAAGAAAGTATTTTTAGAACATTAAAATTAATAAATAATAAAATAAAATTAAAATTCAAAAACTCAGATGAACCGATTTGACCCTATCGAACCATGACTCAAACGATCATCTGATTTCATAGTCGGTCCGGTTCTGTCAACATTGCAAAATGCAAATAATTAACCAATTCAACAACAACTAAATGTATGAATGTGTATATGCTTCCATGCACTTGATAACATATTGACAACACGCTCTATAATTATCTTTGGTTTCTTTACAACTTTTTTTTAACAATGATTAATTCTTTTGGAATTCTTTAATCCGATTATCGGCATCTTATAATCATTAATCATATTTAATTTTGACCCATTTCGAAATTTTTGTTGCTACTACGAACTCTATCTCGTTACTAATCAGGAAAATCTTTTGATTTATTTTATTTTATACTTCGCATGTATTAATTAATATAACACATGCCCATATGGCCATATATTATTAATTTATGGAAAAGATAGTTTATTCTATTATTAATCTTGTCCTGTTTACCCAATCAATTATTTTCTAACAATAAAATGCCCATAAATGATAGGACCTGTCTCCACCATAATATAAGTTTCTTAAAAAAAATATGTATACATATATAAAGAACAGAATAATATTGTGTTTGATTTGGTTATTAATTAAATCGAGTGAGAATTACCTTTTTAGTTGTATTGAGTATTATATTACTTCCGAGTACACATATTTTATTGTTTTCTTATTAATCCATCTGCATGGTTTCCATGTACTGTCACACGTAGTTAGCCTAGTGTGATTTACGTCTCTCGTATTATTTGCAAGATATTATACGACAGTGTAGATTTATCTAGTGCACATGCCGTCGCTTCGATTTACTGTTTCAATTTTTTTTGATTTTCCCCCATCCACTTCTCCTTTAGTTTTCTTAGTATAATCACTCTAATCATTGATTAGGAAAAGGTTTGGCAGCGAACAGAAGCCTAATGTTACTGTCTGGATGATAACTACAACAACAGCGTCTACATTGTAAGTCCAAAATTTCAATTCAATAATTTAGGTACTTTTATTATTTTTAATTTCAAATTTGGAGACCTCTTTGCATTTTGTTTGTATAAAAATAATGGAAGCAAAATCATGTGATTCACTACTGTCCAATTATTGAAAAACTTTTAACAATAATATATATATATATATATATATATATATATATATATATATATATATATATATATATATATATATATATATATATATATATATATATATATATATATATATATATATTAATTTCGTTACTTTATATTATCTCTGATTGCTACTACAATTCAATTTTATGCTGTCAATATTGTGTGTGTGAGTGTGTTTATATATATAGTATTTATCTGAGAAGACGTGTGGTCCTGGAATTTAGGACGTTCTAATCCCCGGCCGTTCCAGTACACGTGACAACAACGACAATCCGTTTTATCGCATTGTCCCGACCTTTCCGGCTGCTTTTTGCCCGTTTTGCATCGTTCTCTGTTGCGGAATGGTTTGGTTACGGAAACCGGGACGGAGAGGGTTGTTCCCGTTCCGGCCATTCTGGCGTTCATGGGAAGAATGGAGTTGGCCTGTTGTATGAATGCACTCCATTTGGATTTATAAAATTGACAAGTGACATGTGGAAGGGACAAAATCTCACAAAAACACAATCCTATGAAAAAGAAATTTCAACAATTAAGGATGTGTACATCTTTCTCGGTGTCATACGTGGGGTTAGTCGATGGACGTTGATCGGATTATCTTAAATTAACAAAGTCGAGGCCACCTAATCAGTTGTCACTAATCATCTTCTTATTGGCCTGTAAAAGTATATGTCATGTTTGATGGTTCAACATTCCTTCTATATTATGCTCTTGGGAATGTGGTCCTATTTTCTGAAAACAAATCCGTAAAATGGACAGGGGAATTAAGTAACGACATTGTATTGAATTATTACGTAAGATGATCCGTAAGCGTTTTGTTTTATTTCCTATTAGTATATTCGGTCCTAATCAAAAGCAACTTCCCGTCTCTCGTAAGACCATGTTGAACAAGTGGCTATGCTCATTTGGACTGGTTGGGAATGTCTTTTTCCGAACTCTGGAACATGATTTTGTTATCGTAGTTCGTAATGGAAGTTAACTTTGTAGTTATGAATGATGTAAAATGAATGTTAAATCATAGATCAATTGAAACCTATGTTCTTATACTAGCTTTAGTTTTCTTGCCATAAGATAATAGTAAGCCTGTCATGTTAACTATTCGCTGCAGTTGGCGATGGCGTGTGGTGGCTCAGCCTGAGAGGAGGCCTTGTCTGGCTGAAGTTGTTGGAATCGACATTTTATTAAAAAAAAAGAAACAACAAAAAAAAATCTACAAAATTACTTTTTTCTCCAACCAGGATTCAGCTGCTACACTATTTTCTTTCCGATTCTTCGAAAAAAATAAATAACCATCACTGTAAAAGTCAATGGCTCCATGTTCGACAAATTTAACCATCAAATCAATATTTATCCTAGTTCGATCGTTAACACACCATTGTTAATGTTAAATTCTTTGACAGTCTTTCGAGTACACAAACACCGTCATTTAAGGGTCTAAAACGATTTAAGACCAATCTTCTTGGTTAAATATATCTGTGGTTTTTATCAAGCCCGAACTTTTCTTCTTCTTTTTCTTTTTCCAGGGACGACATCTAATCATACATTTAACTTAAAAAACGAAAAAAGAAGAGCCCAATAAGCATGTATCTTAGAAAGCCACATCACCAGCATTAACTAATTGGACCTGTTTGATCAATGAGTAAACCAACTCTTTCTCCACACAGTGCCCTCGATATATTTCCAGGCTCGTGAATATTGAAAACGCCAACTGCACCAAACATGCATACTTATTTTCAGACCAACCAAAACACATAAACCCATCCATCGACCAAACAAACACAACACATATATTTAGGGGAAAAAAAACACCTGGAATCCCGTTCTCCTCACAGACAGTCACAGCCATCATATCCATCGGAAACGCACCACGATTAGCCAACTCTCTGAACGAAATATGCTCTGCTGCTAAGCTATCATTTCTAGAATCACAAACGTAGACACCATCTGCATTTGCACCTTTTAGGACAACATCGGCATGAACTGTCGCAAAAAAGAAAAAAAAAAAGACTTGTTTATACAATGTATGTAAGAAAAGCATGTCACGAATGGGATGTTGTAAAAAAAAGGCAAGGTGATTTATTACTATCTGATGCTCTAAGAGCGGCAGCTGTATCAGTGGAGAAGAGGGGGTTCCCTGTGCCAGCCCCAATACCGCCGAAAATCACAACCCTTCCCTTTTCGAGATGCCGAATGGCTCTTTGCCTACTGTACGGCTCTGAAATCTCCGGCATAGAAAATGCACTCTGCACTCGTGTATGCACCCCCAGTTTCTCCAGCGAAGATTGAAGCAGAACGGAGTTCATCACAGTTGCCATCATTCTGTATACAGAGCATCAATCAATGATTAAACAACAACTATTAGCAGAGATGAAGGATATATATATATATATATATATATATACAAGTATGTGGGGAATTTTGTTTTTCACACACAGTGAAAAGAAAAGGGAAAGAAGGATCATTAACTCAAAAAGGTATGAATTCAGGGTGAATTATCCTCTACTGCTAGTTTCATCATTTCAAGTTCTTGAATGGAGAGGCTGATATATTCGAAAATTATTATGTAATTCAAAAAGGTGGCATAGACTAAGCCGCAAATATAAACTACGATAATATTAGACTGGGTGAATTTGTGGCAGGACATGCGTAGATTGACAGGCGAGTCCTATATAACTTTCGTTGCGTCCAAGATCAAAGTCTAACAAGTGAATGGAATACTGAATCAATAGATACAAAGAAAAAAAAATTGAAGCTCACAGTATTTAAAGAAGGGTAACTTCAAATTAATAAACTTACCCGATCTGATATGCCGTACACCTATCAAAACCAGTTGATGTAACCCATGTGTCTCCACAAAAGAAGTTGCGGCCGCCAACAACTATGGCCACCTAATAAGACAAAAAAATGAATGTATAAATGCACCAAGAAATTGAAGAAACATAAAAATAACTCTGAAGTTGCAAATGAGAAGCTTGTTAATTTATACCTCGACGCCAACATGGCATGCCATTGAAACTTCTCTTGCAATCATCATGGCCACCTATGTGATGAAAAAGAAAAATGAAACTTCATCTGATTAGACAATGAAAAGAAAATAGCTCGTCTTTTGAGCCTGCCGTATAAATATGATGCCGATTCTCCTACAAAGTTGCTGCTTAAATTAATTATGTTGATAATGGTTTTCAATTGAAACTATTAATTACGTTCAAATTCTTGGAAAAATCAGAATCCAGAACTCTGAAAGTTTTTGCTGAAGTTCTGTTTATGATCAATGGAGTCGGTGCATAACATCTGCTTAACAATCAATTTCGCAAAAGAAAAAATGATCCAATAATTAAATTGGCTACCAAGTCTACCCATTTGACGATAATTGAATATAACATGTTCGCATTTTTGTCAAGCCCAATTAGGAGAAGACGTTTAAGTTTTAACACAGGATTCATGACAAAAAGGAAAATGGTTGACTCATCAAGTGACAGATTAAATAAACAATGTAAAAATGGAAAATTGAAAAAAGAATTAGAGATATAAATAAATAAACCTTTGGATCAATATTAGTAGGAGGACTTCCAGCTAGAGCAGATCCACTAATTCTGAACACAACTCTTCGCCACCTCAGAGTATTCGTCGGTTTCAGCTTCATGCTGCTAATCTGACCAACGGGACTACTGGTTACTGCTCCTAATCTGCCGGGAAAAAGAAATCAATTTTATAAATGACGTCATATTTAAGCAAAAAAATGTCTTCTTTTTTGTACCTCTTGGGCTGCTTAGCTGGGTAAGACGGTGCGCCACCACCGGAGGACTTCTCCTCCTCTGCCGCAGCTTTCGCAGCAAGGGAACTACCAACGATCTGCTCCATCTGCTTGTACCAGGGCCAGTGGCTAGCAGATACGCCGCCGTTGCTCAGCCGATGCCTCTCCAACTTGTACCTCTTTTTTAAGTTGTCCACCTTGTTCTTACACTGCTCCACGCTCTTCATCTGATTCTCCGACCTCTCGCTCACCGTCGCCGCCACCTCCTCCCAATCCCTGCCCCTCAAATTACCCCTATTCAGCTGAACAAACTTCTCACTGTACGCCTCCAGCAAACACGCGATCGCTGTGTCGCTCCACTCCTCCCTGTCCTTCCTGTAATCTCCGCTTCCGCCGGAGGAGGGCAGTCTCGTCCTTTTCGATGTGCCGCTGTGTATGTCATCTCGATCTATGAGGCGCTTCCCGGAAATTGAGTGCGGATCGGGTTCGGAATCAAATGGATCGGAGTCTTGGTCGTAATGGTTGATTTGATACGGCGGGGTGTGGGTGGCCGTGGCGGTGGAGGGTTGGGCGGAATTAGGGTTTTGGTGGTCGTCGATGAGGGAAAAATCGTCGTCACAAGAGGCCATGGACGGCGTCAAGTTGACGGAAACGGAGGGGATTAGACGGACGTGAAAAGAAGGCGTTTAGGGATCGCGCCGTTAGGGATATTGAAATTCGTGATATTTTGCAGGAGCAAGGGTAAGAAGAGGGCCGAGGCGTTACATTCGTGACGAGTCCGTTAGGCAGGCACGTGGACGTGGTGAGGGGTCACGTTAGTGGGGACCATTTTACGTTACGAATTAAGGACCTAACCCAAAACGGATCATAAAGATACAATTTCAATTTGCCCCTTATAATATTTCCAATCACAAGAGAGCCCCTATATCTTTTATTTCTGCATTTTACACCTCACTCTTCAAAAAATCATTTTCACAAAAAAGGTAAATGCACATTATTCTTGTGCAAAAATGCATCATACACTTAATTGTTTCATAGATTGAATAATTTCAAAATAATATATGTTATACTTTGCTTTTAGTTACAAAGAAAGTGATAGTAAATTTATAAAAATTGAATGAGAACTTTCAAAAATTGTTTGTAGAGTTTAGGTTAAAATATGAGTATCTTAACAATCGTATAACTGAACTTTTAAAGATTGACTAACTTTTTTTTGAAATTAACTTATAATTATGGATAAATACTTGGGAAAGAGTACTTTTAAAGATTTACTAACTTTTTTTTTCGAAATTAACTTATAAATATGGATAAATACTTGGGAAAGAGTGGTGTGTCACTACACACGAGCTTGAAACACAAATGAGCTAGTGATGCAGTGTAAGATTGTTTCTTTTCCTCAAACGCGGAAGTCATATATTATGTGTGATGGTAGCGAGAAAATTTAGTGGAGAATTCTTGATTTTTATGAATGGATTTGGGCTTATTAGACTAAGGTCTATTTAGCCACACCAACCAATATTATATTGAACTCCCAACACGAGTTACTAGAAGGTATAATTGTTTGTGCTTGGGAGACAAGTTTCATAGGCCCATAGAAATTCGATGCTCGACCCGGAGCGGAGAACACGTGCACTTTAATATATCTGATTATTATTCGCTTCAATTTCACGCGGCCTCATATATTTATATTTTTATTTCATAATTAGCAAAAATATTACTTATTTATTCAATAACCAATTATTAAATACATATAATGCTATGCCTAGGAAACTGCGTATAAAAAGTTTTATTTGTATGGGCCGGCAAGCCTCAATTTTGGAATATAAAAATATATCGGGTCTAACCCGACCCGGTCCATAAGAGAAGGAAAATAAGGTTTCTTTGGGAAAAAGAAAGAAATATAGGCCCCAAATAGCAAAATCGAGAAAATAAAGAGAACCACGTTTACTGCATATGTATTTAATTAGAGTTTTTTGTTCAGTTGTCTTCTCACTTTCCTCTGTTCAAAGGTGTGCCGAGAACCTAGAAAAATACCACAACTCTTCTTAATTTCGAGTGTTCTCACAGGAAAATTAAAGCGAAGAATTATGCATTCAAATCACTTGTTGCTGGAGGAGCCAATCCGCATGGCCACAATTCTGGAGCCATCGAAAGGGGTGAGTGAGGTTTTTCGTTTGTTTGTTTTTGAATTATACACGATCTGTATTCAGTTATTTGCATGAAGGATTTGGTATTTTTGCCGACTTGTGTTTTGGCGATTAATATGGTTCCGTGGTGGTACAGAGTTTCTTCCCTGCGATGACGAAGATCGTCGGAACACTCGGCCCACGCTCTCGATCCGTCGACGCTATTTCCGCTTGCCTTAAAGCTGGAATGTCCGGTACTGTAATCAAACTCTTAAAACCTTATTTTTCTATGATTTTTTTTTAGGTATTGATCTTCGTATAAGAGTCCTTATTATTTTTTGTTCACTTGAAAACGGTGCAGTTGCACGAATTGATTTTTCATGGGGTGATGGGGATTATCACCAGGAGACTGTGAATAATTTGAAGACTGCTATTAAGAGCAGCAGGAAACTCTGTTCTGTAAGTATATTTATTTTTTAGGTTTTGAAATTTATTTCCCAAATTCATGTTACTGCCAACAATTCTAGAGATAGATAGAGGCTGGCTGGTGTTCTGTATTCTAGAACTAGTTTGAAAGGGGAGAAATACGGAAAGTTTATGTGTCCTTTCGGGAAATTTGTTATTTTAATGATTGATCACTAATTTTTCAGGTTATGCTAGACACCGTGGGCGCTGAATTACAAGTTGTTAATAAAAGTGAGAAAGCTATAACCCTTAAGGAAGATGACAAGGTTATTCTAGTACCTGATCAAGGTCAAGAGGCATCATCTGATGTTTTACCGATCAACTTTGCTGGACTCGCTAAGGTTCGCTCTATAGTTGACCTATAGCTTTCATATCAATTGTCGAACAGAGGTTTCTTTTGCTATTCATTTTTTCCGATTTTTTTTGTTCTTACTCTACTGTCACTACTTAACTAGAAAATTGCATGATTAGTATTAGTTTCTATTTCTATCATTGTGTAGGCACTATGCTGCATATGTATTTCCAAAACTCACTCAGTATTTCACTTTCCTTTCGGTGTATAACATGCGTCTTATGATAATGAAAAACGAGCTTCTGGGAAATGCCGACAACAGAGTATTTTAGTCACTTTTTCATAGAATGTAGATTATTCTATTTAAGACCAGTGCTTGATTTTTTCATTTAAGTGCTATTTATGTGAGGGTAGTTCCATTACATAAATACTTCTTATTCTATTGTTTAACCAGGTTTAATTTTTTGCAGGCTGTGAAGAAGGGAGATACCATTTTTCTTGGTCAATACCTATTTACTGGAAGTGAAACCACATCCGTTTGGCTAGAGGTATGGGGTGGAGTTTTGAATTCAATTTATTTATGCTTGTTGCGTTGTTTTAATCATTCTTTGGTTCTTTTTTAATTCCATATTAACCCGCTTGTTGATTCCTCTAAATATGTTAGTAATCCTTGTGAGTGTATTCTGATCATGCTATAGAAAATTCTGCTATTTTCCTTAGGCTGAACAAGTCGTTAGCTAGTTGTTTGAGCTGTTCCATAACTTGAATCTGAAGATTTTCCTTTTGGCTGGCAGGTAGACGAAGTACAAGGTGATGGCGTGGTTTGCATAATCAAGAATTCTGCAACCTTGGCTGGAGCATTGTTTACCTTGCATGCTTCTCAAGTTCATATCGATCTGCCGACTCTATCTGACAAGGACAAGCAGGTGAGTGGTGCAATAAATGTGATATCTAATGTGTATTCTTTCATCAATAAATGCAATAAATGTAAATACATCAATTGTCCATCTGGTTGGGTAACTAAGTTTCGTGAAGTAAATGAACTTGTTGATGTACTGAAAAAATGAATGTAAGTATGGAACTGTATGTTAGTAGAAAATAAAGCGTTCTTTGCCTATATCCTTTGGTAATTGCAACTGTGCATTGTTAGACCCTATGAGTCTTGTGCCTACATTGACTTCCATTGACATCAAAGCTTAAACAACAATTGTGTTATGCAACTGTTTTTCTCTTCTTTCTTGCCTAACCTATTTGTTATATAAAGTTTGTAATTCATAAGATATATCACTTATGCTTCAGGTTATCAGCTCATGGGGGGTTCAGAATAAGATTGACTTCCTATCTTTGTCTTATACACGTCATGCTGAGGATGTTCGTGAGGTAAAACTGTAAAAGATACGACGGTCCTTTGATATTTTTATTTTCAAATTTGCAATGTTTTTTTTGTTTACTTTTTCTATAACCTGGAAACCTAAGCACTGCGGATTTTGGTGTCAATGCAGGCCCGTGAGTATCTATCCAAGCTCGGTGATCTAAGTCAGACTCAAATCTTTGCTAAAATCGAGAACGTAGAGGTGAATCTCTAAGACTACCGAAATCCTAATAGGGCGGATTTAAATTGTTTTTACAAGATATTGAATATTGTTAGATGATTGACTCTTCCAAATCCAACTCCTTACTTTGGCTTAACGGTATTTGTAGGGTTTGACCCATTTCGATGAGATCCTAGAGGAGGCAGATGGCATCATCCTCTCCCGTGGAAACCTTGGCATAGATCTCCCACCTGAGAAGGTTAGCAGTCCATTTTGTCTATGTAGTTCAAGAATCAAGGGTGATACAAAGTTGATTGATTGATTCTATTTGATATACTTGTAATTCTAATCTCACTATATGAAATAATTGTAGTCCTAAATGTCATGCTATATGTGTTTCCTGATTACTTTGCTCGTAACTCCTTAAAAAAATCTATTTTTGTAAAGGTTAATCTGTATCAATTATGCCTAAAACTATGGATTGTTGAACAGCTTTCCATTATTAGCGTGCAGTGGTGTTGTCTAATTTGCTCTAACTATAGCTCTTGTTATTCTTTCTTCTGTATATGCAGGTGTTCTTGTTTCAGAAGTCTGCTGTTTACAAATGTAATATGGCTGGAAAGCCAGCAGTTGTAACTCGTGTTGTTGATAGCATGACTGACAATCTCAGACCCACTCGTGCCGAGGCAACTGATATTGCTAATGCTGTTTTGGATGGTGAGTCATTGTCCTACGATTCCCGGTCTGAAAAAGAGTATTATGTAATGTGCCCATTTTCCACCATTTTGTAATGTTCAGCTTTTGTGAAGAACTCGGCATACTAGTATTTTCGTTATTGATTGTCATTTTAATGGTTTAGCTTTTAATTTGTGTACTATTTTATTAGCTCCTTATCATAAGAATTTATTAGAATGACACTCAACGTATATGTTTCAGGATGTGATGCAATTCTTCTTGGTGCTGAGACTTTACGTGGATTGTACCCTGTTGAAACTATTTCTACAGTCGGCAGAATTTGTTCAGAGGCAAGTCATCTTTGACATATATATCATGTAATTGATTTTTAAATTATTTTCTAGTTGTAATGGATCTTATTCGAGGAATGTACGAAGGTGGTATAGGTTTATCATATTATCAATGTATAATGATTTTTAAATATAATTTTGATTTTTTTTGCTATTATTAACAGGCAGAGAAGGTTTTCGATCAAGATCAATACTTTAAGAGGACTGTAAAATTTGTTGGCGAACCCATGACTCACTTGGAAGCTATTGCTTCTTCTGCGGTATGGGAAGAAAACAGCAAATAAAATTAACACCCATGTTAACTTTCTTTGTTTAAGAACCCTAGTATTTAAATACCTTCTTTCTTTTTTTGCATTTTATCTTTAGGTCCGTGCAGCCATTAAAGTGAAGGCATCCGTCATTATATGCTTTACATCATCTGGAAGAGCTGCAAGGTACTGTATAATCTTTTTTTTTCAATTTATGTTGATTTTATTTATTTATTTTGGCATGAGTTAAAACATTGTTCTTTACAAATGCAGATTAATAGCAAAGTACAGACCAACAATGCCTGTTTTATCTGTTGTCATCCCTCGCCTGAAGACAAATCAGTTGAAGTGGAGCTTCAGTGGTGCTTTTGAGGTAGACCTTTGACCCCAATTCGGGATTTTGTTGTATAATATTTTTTTTTCTTTTGAGTTTATTTATTTTCCTCCAATGAGCTTAAGGTTCGTTCTTTTCCGCATAATGTTTAGGCAAGGCAATCACTTGTAGTACGTGGTCTTTTCCCCTTGCTCGCTGATCCCAGGCATCCAGTAAGTCCTTTGTACTTGTGATTATTATTATTAATTTTTTTTTATTAACAGATAATCCGTTTCATTGACGATAAACGTGGTCCTTGTATTACAGGCTGAGTCTACAAATGCAACTAATGAGTCAGTTCTGAAGGTTGCACTGAATCATGGAAAAGCTTCGGGAGTGATCAAATCTCATGATCGAGTAGTTGTCTGCCAGAAAGTTGGAGATGCATCTGTCGTGAAGATTATTGAACTCGAAGATTAAACAAATTCCGACACTAATATAGTTTCTTGTTTTTTTTTTTTTTTTTTTTTTTTTAATTTATTTTTTTGTTCTAGTGTGACTGGACACTGGTAATAGGCATTACCCTCAATTTTTGTCGCTGGTTTTAGATTTAGGTAAAATCTATATTTATTTTGGGTATAATCTGCAAGAACATTGCTATCTTTGCAAATTTTGTTACCAACGGTGGATATTGCATAGATTTTTAAAGGTATTTAGAACCATTAAGTTACTGTGTTTGCTTTCTTTATAGCAAAAGGATTATATTTATCTTAATAACATTTCGTATATTTTTTTATTTTATTTTTCTGTACAAAAGTTATTCCCTATAAATAACAATATTAATTATTAAATAAAAAACTGGGTCCAATAAAAAAATTGAAATATACGTTTTTCACAAGCGGGGTTTGATGCATGTTGACATGATGCCATTAACTATCACTGCATTCTTGGAAGATTGGGCAAAAAGAAATAAAATTTCTGTAGTGTAGTAGTTTCCAGGCATATTCGTTGCATTGTAATCTAAAATTTCACAATTTTAACAATTTTAAGTATAAAAATAGTACTATATATATTTAATTACCATAATAAACGAACAAAAAGCGCCCATGGCCTAATGGATAAGGCGTCTGACTTCTAATCAGGCGATTGTGGGTTCGAGTCCCACTGGGCGTGTACCAATTATTTTTCTATTTTTAAATATTTATTATCTATCTATATATATATAAAAAGACAATCCCTTGCCTCATCTTCTGACACGTGGCAATTTAGGGTTTCTAACCCTAGGGCAAGTTTTATAATTTTTACTATTTTTTGGTGTAAAAATTGAAAAGCCCATATTTCATCTCCCCTAAATTTTATCGGCCGTTTTTCATCATCTCTAATTTTTCTCTAAATTTTTATCCCGTTAATTTCTCTTTCAATACCCACTCCCTCAACTGCAGAAACTGCACGTGGCAATTTAGGGTTTCTAACCCTAGGGCAAGTTTTATAATTTTTACTATTTTTTGGTATAAAAATGAAAAAGCCCATATTTCATCTCCCCTAAAGTTTATCGGCCGTTTTTCATCATCTCTAATTTTTCTCTAAATTTTTATCCCGTTAATTTCTCTTTCAATACCCACTCCCTCAACTGCAGAAACCGCCGATTGAAATCAATTAATTTCTCTCGGTGTATGTTTCAAGATTTTTATTTATGTGGTCGCTATGTTAATTTTAATTATGTTGTTTTTCTAGATTTTCAGTTTTCAGTTGCAACTTTTTTAAGACTTGCAGTAGGTGGTTGCTATATACTTTGCATTATAAATTTCTAATATCATTGAAAAATGTCCATCGTATTTGTTTTAACGATCACTACTAACATTCACTCCATATATATATTCACAATAACAAAAACTATATTTTTTTTCTAAATTTGTTAGAATTATTTTTTCTCTATGTATTCAATTATGTGTTACAATATAACAAAACAATTATCACAATATTCACCGTGCATCGCACGGGTGTATTACTAGTTACCATTATTTGTAATTTTCCCTATTTAATTAATTGCCATATAACGTCACAGCAAAGGATAAAATTGTCCTAGCACAATAAATTTTGTAATCTTTTTTTTGATCCAACAGCTAAAATTTTGGTTTGATTAGGTGATAAAAAAGTGCTGGTAGAATATTTGATTAGGTAAAACTTGATAGACGACGAAAAAGTGAAAGTAAAATATTTGATTATAGCACGTGAAAAAAGTTTGTTTGACATAGTGTAGAATCAAACCGGGGGAGGTTAATTAAGCCATCTTAATTAACTAATTAATTATAGATATAAGATTTGTTTTGATTGAGGATATTCCATTTTGAGGGTACGAGCTTGATAACAACACTCGTTTTTATATCTTAATTTTTTTATAATAGAAGTAGCGAAATTCGATTAGTCGAGGCCACATCTAATATAAAATATAATATTTGTGATTATCTTTTCTTGCATTTAAGATATTTCCCATAATTTAACAATCTCAACTTGACCAACAATATATAAAGCATGTAAGGTAAATACACATAAATTATTTTAATCAAAAGTCAAATGCTTAAGATTGTGATGAGAGTTGTAAAATCTTATAATAAATAAAAAAATCACTTTAAAAATTAATTTTTAAAATAAAACGTAAGAATTTATTAACTTTTAAACTAATTTATCAGATGTAAAAGCTTATAAACTATTTAAAATAACATTAGCTATTATTTGACTGCCACCAATTTTCTTTCACTAATTTGGACTATTTATTTCCTAAGAATCATTGTTGTTTGTTATAAACTAAGCAAGTCTTATCAAAATCATGTTGTCTTTCAATTTCTTGTTTGAGCTTCAAGACACCTCAAAATAAAATAGGTCCACCAAAATCAACCCCAATAGCACTTCCTTTCTATACTAATTTTTTTTTTTTTTTGCCGTTTCTCACTCTCATAAATCCAGTGGGCAAAATACCAACTATGCCCCTCTACCTTTTGAGGGTTTTTTTTTCTATTGTATTTGGTTTTGAAAATAAGATTTGGAATCTATTATAATATTTCGTATTATAATAAACAAATTACATCTCTTATATTAAATAGAACTTGAATATTTACAAATTCATATTTAAATGCACGTGCAAACAAGTATAAATAAAATCGACCCTCGAATTAATTTAGTCAGACATAATTAATTACAAGTCATATTAAGGTGGTGTTTGTAAAAGTCTAATATAATTATAATCTATTTTTACAAGTATATTTTTTAGTAAATAAATTATTTTAAGTTATAGTTAAAAAAATTGTATATACTACAAAAATGGATATTTTTGTCTTTATTCAATTCTACTAAATAAAATTAAAATATATTAGCAAACACTTCAACTTTGAATTTAAATGATTAAACTCAATTTATTTAAATGATTAAAAAGAATTAAATTAGAGAAAATATTGATTCAGTAGATGAGATAAGCATCGGTTGCCTTCTCAAAACTCAGAAACAACCTCGGATTATAACAAAAAGCGATTAAGCTAAGAAAAAAAGTGATTAAGAGATTAAGAAAGCCGCGTTTCTTAATAGTGTGTGTGTGTGTGTGTGTGTGTGTGTGTGTAATTAACAAGGAGGAAATGGCGGAGGGTTAAGTGCTGAGCTGTCAGAAGACAAAATTCTCTTTTCGCTCTCTCCTCGCACACACCACCACCCCCACGGCGTCGCTCCGCCACCTCCACCGCCGGAAGATTCTCTGGTAGAAAATTGAAACGCGATACGTGTCAATTGACGTGTGTATATGGGGGCATCATTGTCGAATTTGACCGAGAACGGGTCGGGCAGCGGCGGACCGGGTCTGGGAGACATACCGGAGAGCTGCGTGGCGTGCGTGTTTCTGTATCTATCTCCGCCGGAGATTTGTAACTTGGCTCGACTCAACCGCGCCTTCCGCGGCGCCGCCTCATCCGACGCCGTTTGGGAGACGAAGCTTCCGTCGAATTACCAGCTCCTCCTCCACCTCCTCTCGCATCCCGATGTATATCAAAACCTCCGTAAGAAAGACATCTTCTCTCTCCTCGCTCGCCCTCTCCCCTTTGACGACGGCAACAAGGCAACCACTTTTTTCCCTAATTTTTTTTTTATTAATATTGATTTATTCTGTTGCATTTGTTACTGCTACTCTGGAATTTCCTATTTGATTCAGTTAGTTGGTTAATTTATTAACTGGAATTGGATTACGATTTTCGTTATTTTCCATTAATTAGTTAATTTTCTCGACTGTGTCGAAATTGGGAATTTGGGGGAAGTTTCTTATATGGTTGATATTTTCCTTTTCTAAACTGAAATATGGTTGATTACCTATTACGGGCTCGATTATTGAATGCAACTCGATAAACTTGATAATGTACTAAACGAATCGAACTTTTGTTTATGATTTTGATATAGTGAACATTCTGTTCTGAATACCTTAAGTAGGTTATCATTTGAGCTAATCGAATGAAACGATACGGCTAAATCAATTTCTTTTTATCGTGTTGTGTGGCAAACTGGTAAATAAGTTTCAATCTATTTTATAATAATATAGTTTTCATCTCAAATGGGGCAATTGCAGGTGGTGTGGGTAGACAGATTTACGGGGAGAGTTTGCATGTCGATATCGGCCAAGGCGATGGCAATAACAGGCATCGAGGACCGAAGATACTGGAATTTTCTTCCCACCGATGAATCGAGGTCAGTATTCATCTGTACACGTCATTCAATCATGTCAAGAAATTTTGAACTTGTCTTAGATATAATTACGTTCCATGTAATCTTAGTTAAAAACATTTATCGCAAATGGAACACCGATTCGTGTATGTAGTTTCTCCGATTGTTGTTGGGCATGTTCTGTACAATAACGATGCTGTAATCGAACAAGAAATCGTAGTCCTTGATAAGGTTTACATCATTCCAGCATTATAAATTTCGTGGTAACTATTATAGTCAATTGGTACGAGGTTTATTTACGCCAAATATTAAGCTATGCGATTGCAGTTTCTTGAAAAGTTCATAAGAGTCTTTTGAAAAGAAAAAAAACGAAGATTTAATAGCTTAACAACTGCTTCGTTCTTGCAGATTTGATGTTGTAGCCTATCTGCAGCAAATATGGTGGTTCGAAGTGGACGGAACAGTAAAATTCCCTTTCCCGCCAGATATATACACACTCTCATTTAGGATTCACATCGGGAAATTTTCTAGAAGATTGGGTCGCCGTATTTCGAATTTCGAACATACTCATGGATGGGATATCAAGCCTGTAAGATTTGAACTGTCCACGTCAGACGGGCAGCAAGCATCGAGCGAGTGCTTCTTAGATGAAACACACCAAGATGAAGGTAACGGAAGCTGCAAACGAGGTTGTTGGATAGAGTACAAGGTAGGTGAATTCATTGTCGGTGAATCTGATTCCGAGACTGAAGTGAGATTCTCGATGAAACAAATCGACTGCACACATTCGAAAGGTGGGCTTTGTGTTGATTCTGTGTCTATTATTCCCATTGAGTTGAAAGAACGTCGGAGAAGAGGGGCTTTGAAGTAACAGTGGCGTCTGTGTGTGTGTGTGTTTGTTTCTTGGTTTTAGTACGGGGTTTTTGTGGTAATAACTCTTTTAACTTCCGAAAATGCGTGTTCGTCTCGAATTGTTTTTGCTGTAGATATGTGTCCCCTGTTAATGTAATTCATTTTTTTTTTTGTTGTGGTTTTGTAATTGTTGCAGTTTTGTTTCATATTTGTTCTTTCTGCAGAAGGTTAATAAAATGTATTCTGTTCTAAGCAACTAACTTCATATTAAGTGATTTTTGGTAGAAATAAGAGATTGCAGAATGTTCTCGAACTGCATCGATAACATAAATTGTACCGTGACTGGGGGATCGATACTCATTTTTTTTTCGTAGTAAATTTTTGGCCTTGAATTGAAACATTTTATAGGTAAGAATCTAGATGATTAAATTGGAACCCTTTGCAAATATATAATAAATTATGCCATTTTTTGTTGATAATTGGAACCCTTGACAAAATTAAATAAATAAATAAAATGAATTTGGCAAGTTTTATGAGGATTGAAGGGCTGCTGCAAGTGCAGGGACAAGATTAGTATGCCCTATGGTGGTTGAGAGTTTGTAGTATTTATGAAATGTCTGCGTTATTTATTAATTTGTTGGTAACAACTAGTATATCTGTATTTAATTAATTATTAATTATTAAATTAAAACACTGTATTTCAATTTTCAATCACAGCATTTTTTACTGCTTATTTATGTGTTGCCACCTTTCCACAGGGAAATGTTTGGACAAAGAGTTACTTTTTTTTTTTTTTTTTTTTTTTTTAATTATTTATATTTATTAGTTTTTTTCTTTTTTAGAAGAAACGAAGGAGTCCGTTACCAATCATATAGATACATTATGTAAATCTACACTCTCGTATAATAGCTTGCAAACCATACGAGAGATGTAGATCACCATAGATGCACTGGATGAACCTACACTCTTGTATAATAACTATAACTTGCAAATCATACGAAAGATGTAAACCACCTTATAAACGCACTGAGTATGCCTACACTCTCGTATAACATATAGTAAAATATTAATTTTCCACATTAAATATATTTTATATAGGTATAGCTCCAAATTACGAATTTTGAACCCGTTGAAATTTCAAATATTAAATACAATCATGAAATTAAAGTGGCAGTAAAATATATAACTCTCTCTTTAAATTATTGGGTGGTCTTGTTTATTGGTTTATCTATATTTGGTTCTTAAGGACTTTCCTTCGATTAATCAATCAATAGTGCCTTCCTTAATTTATTGTTCTTCAAGTTTACATTTATGACATATTAAATTCACTAATTATATAATTCCATTTTTACCCTTTAGTTCAACTATTGTTATACTAATAATTAATTTATTATTAAAAAAAAAAAACTTGTAAATATAATTGAATAATCAAATTATGTGGGTCCTAGAGAGGGAACATAGTCGGTCGTACGATGAGACGTCCCCTCCTCTATATGATGAACGCCTCCTCTATATTGGCCTTAATTATTATCTATTTTTTTCTCTTTTATTATTATTATTATTATTATTATTATTATTATTATTATTATTATTATTATTATTATTATTATTATTATTATTACTTGAATTTTCTTGTCTGCCCCTTATTACACGTTTAATTACGTGGAATTTTCTATAGAGTTTGTCACTAGCCCCGCGTGGAGTATACATAGACGATGGATGTGACTACATTCGACTCAATGTTAGAAATAAAGGCGGAAGGCCTGCAACACAACATGGACGATGGAGGCGCGCCCACTTATTGTATAACAAGAACCGACCACACTAGCGGCGTCTCGTACGGAGCAAGATAGATCACCCTCAACAGACAAACACAACTCGTAATAGTCATACTACTCTCACGTGTGGACTGACCGAAGATAGAGAATGGGTCCACTACCCCATCCGTACGACATGTATAAATACAACCTTAGAGCACAAACGAAAGATGATTCTCCTTAGGTACTCCTAATCCACAGATTCTTATTATATTTCTCTACATAATATAATAGTGTTTTGTCTACGATTCCGACTGACTTGACCGTCAGAGCGCTAACATTGGGAAGTCCAGGTTTCTAGGAGCGCGCGTGATTTTTTTCTTATCTGGATTTTTCTCACTTCAAATTCATTCCACTTCTTCAATTCGTGATCGAGCCGTTTAGGCTAATGTATGAATTTGGCTTATATATAGCTTGTATGGAGGCGTGATGAGAAAGAGAAAGGGATATATATATATATATATATATACACATTAGATACAGAGTGTCAGTGTAATTATAAGGCAGAGAGAGGTTAACGCCTTTAATTAGGGCAGAGGACCATTTGATTCCTTCCCATTTTAATCCTCTTCTCACCCAACCGACACTACACAGTACATCTCTCTCTCTCTCTCTCTAGATCTCTCTCTCTCTCTCTCTCTAGATCTCTCTCTCTCTCTCATACAGAGGCTGGCTGCCCGCTTTATTGAGTTTCCATATATAGCGGACAATACTCTTGTACACTGGTTCCATATACCCTTTCAATATTTCTCCTCTTCTTTTTTTCTTTTTTTATATATTTAGTATATACATATTCACTTTGTTGCTGCACCACAAGGGAACTAAATTTACCTCTGTCGTCGGTTTGTCTTTCTTAATCTACAGATTTAGGGTACTGATCATTATCATCAGTATCCATCCATATATATACATATATATAGTATAGAGAGAGTGTCGTTTAATTTGTTTCTGTTTGTTGGGAAAAAAAAAAGAAGCAATTAAGGGGCTTAATTATTAATTAACTGAAAGAATGGATTGGAATGGTAATTATGTGTGCAGAGTGCCTTTTGTTTCTCGACCTGCAGTTGATAATTCCTTGAGCTTTCTCTACAACTACAACTATGACCAGCACTTTCCACCAGGTAATTAATAACAACTCCTTTCTTAAATTTCTTATTTATATTATTTATTTTCTGTTAATTACTATATATATACACACACACACACACACATATGTATATATAGTGATTTTGATGATGAGTTATTTCATGGAACTTTTGGAAGAATTTATATCCAGGTTACATATATATAGTAGTTGTTTTCATTCATAAAGCATGATGTGGACGCCTTTAATTTGTTTTAAATTCAAACGATTAATTATATATTCTGATTATTATTGAAATTCAGAAATAATTTAAATTAATATCATGCAATCAGAAACTAGGGTTTTTGATTCTCACAAGAAACTGCTAGAATGATAACTTAGAATTATTGGATCTGGTATTTCATGTTGTATATAAAATTCGGCGGCGCAACCACATAAATTTCTACGTATCAACTCGTCCAACTTATAATTTGAAAAGTTCATTGTTTAAATATTGTTGAAACTAAGAACCTTTGTATGAATTAACTCAATTAATTTTCTTATTCTTGAGTAGTTGGCATATGTGTACATGTGTGTGTGTGTGTGTGAGAGAGAGAGAGAGAGAGAGAGAGAGAGAGAGAGAGAGAGAGAGAGAGAGAGAGAGCAGAAACCCTTTTTTGAGTTTTCGCTATTAATTAGTACATTCTGGGAAAATCTGAGGTTATGGAAAAGAAAAGCTGCATGCATGCTTTGATTCATTAAGCTACCTGTCAGATATATATATATATATATATATATATATATATATATATATAAAAGAGCATCATCCATCATCATCTTTATTCAATTATTATTTATTATATATAAGACCATCAGGCCACCTTATTTATTATTTTTTTTAATGTTTTGACTTGACATGCATAATTAACATTTGAAAAAAGGATCTCTTTTTAATATATATAACTTTTTGTTGTTGGGAGAATTAGAAATGAAACAACAGGCGGCAATTACAGATCATGAACAAGCATTAATGATGCAGCCAAATTTAACTATGGAGAAGAACAACAACAACAACCACAACAATATCAGCATGATGAATAATTACAATACGGGGCTCGATATCAACGATCCGAAGAAGAAACGACTAAGCAACGAGCAATTGGAGTTATTGGAAAATAGTTTCCAAGAGGATATTAAGCTTGAGCCTGAGAAGAAGATGAAGCTGTCTAAGGAACTCGGGCTTCAGCCCCGACAGATTGCCGTCTGGTTCCAGAACCGTAGGGCCCGTTGGAAGGCTAAGCAGCTTGAGCGCTTGTACGACGCGCTTCAGCAAGAGTACGATGCTGTTTCCAGAGATAAGCAGAAGCTCCAACAAGAGGTAATTTATTTGTAAAAAATTATTACCATACAACTTTTAATTGATTAATTATTTAATTAAGCAGCTATATATCTTCTGCCGTTCTGCTTTAAGTTTAGTACTTCCTGGCAAGCCACTAACTACTTATGTACGTATTTATTTGAAAACAGACATGATCATTATATATATATATATATATATATATATATATATATATATATATATATATATATATTGAAGTTTGATGGATCATATAATTAATAAGTGGTGTGCACTTCAATATTAATTATTATGCCATTTATGAAGGTCTACCACATATTTATCACTTGGAGGTTCAATTTTCTGATAGTGCAATTTTTCTGAGATATATATATATATATATATATATATATATATATATATATATATATATATATTATGTGTTCGAAAATTATTTTTATACACGAAAATACGATAGCAACTTGTATATATATAATCGTATAGTAATTTTTTTTTTTTAGGTTATGGCATTGAGGGCAATATTGAAGGAGAATCAAGTGGGGAAAAATAAGGAGGTATCGATAGAGATTTCGGGGGAAGAAACAGTGGAGAGCACGTCGTTAATTCCGATAATCAATAATAGTAATGAACTTCATGATCAAATTGCAGAATGCAGCTACCCGTTGAAGGTTGATGACTACTACAATAACAATAATACAACAGTGATTATGCCGCCGCCTCCCTACTGGCCAGCTTCTTCTCCTAATTAATTTCAATTAATAGTTAATTAAAATAGCTAGCTATATATGCTTAATTATTTGTTCTTGTCATTGTTGTTATATTTTGAAACTTAAGATGATGTGCTAAATGCTAATTAATTAATTAATCCTAGTGTTTTTAGGTCAACCTAGAAGTAATTAGGAGATAGGGAGGTTTAGCCCAGTACTTACTAGCTGAAATTAATTAATTAGTGTTTCTCTGCTTAGTGTACTAATTAAGTAGGGGTTGAGCTCATTGATGAAGGTAGATTTAATGTTTAGACTTTTTAGTCACGTGATCTTGACGTTGCATTGTAATAAGACATACTCTTAATTAATTAGTGTATGTTTATCGTTCGTTCTTGAATCTTTTATGGCATTAACGGGTGGGTGTTACGAAATCAACGTGCAAGTGTGTGTGTAAATACTAAATACACGATCTATTGTGAGTATTTCAAACTCGGAAATCAAACCACTAATTGTACAACGATGTAATGTGGTTCGACTCAAGGTTGAGCCTGCATCCACCAACGATTCACGAACCCCTTTTATTGATCAAGAATAAACATCGAGTAACCGTGCGATCGCATGCATGAAGTGTTAGTTACAACTAACTTGCGAGCTCCTCATTTTCCTTCAATCACAAATGTTATATATAATTGCTTCATATCGATCTCCACCGTTAGATCTTAAACTCTTCCTCAATCAACATAATTCTAGAATGTTTTTTCACCAAATTAATATAGCATCCGATAAATATATATTATATTCAGCTAAAAACGATTACGGTATATAAATTTAAACAAACAGTAGTACGAAACTAATATATATTCGTTTTCAAAAAAAATAAAAAAAAAATAATATATATTCCATATTCTACTTCCATTTTCATTGGCTGCTGCAAAAATCCAAGAACCCCATGAATTCATGATTCTTTATCATCTTCATGCTTGTCTCCATTCCCTCAATACCTACCAAAAAAAATTAAAAATTAAAATAAAATTTAAAATAAAAGAAATAAAAAAATTGGAATATAATAAAGATAATTACCCATAATCAAAGCACTAGCGAAAATGACAGCGGAGAGGATAAATACAATGAGTGATGCCCTCTTTAGTATTGTGATTAGCTTTCTTACAACAAATTGCCCCCAGAAACCAGCCATTATTGACACCAACATTAGGTATAAAGCTGCAAAAACAGTTTGGATTTTTTTCTCATTTCTGGTATTTAACAAATTCCCCACGTGCCAATTATTTCAACAAAAATAGTAAATAAATTAATATTTTAACTTAAAAAAAAAAGGGAATTAATATACCATAGGGTATTGGGAATCTCTTGAGGAGATAAAATTCCACAACTGATAAAGATGAGGAGAACATCATCACAAATGTTGCTGTTGCACTAGCTACCTGAAATATTCAGTTACTCTTTTTAAAATCTTGCCACGAAAATAATTAACTGAATGTTCATATATATACATACATGCTATATATATATATACCTGAGGGATGACTCCAATTTCGAGAAGAAGGGGACCGAGAATGAAGCCACCACCGGAGCCTAACAAGCCGCCAACTGTGCCGCCAACGAGGCCGCAAGTGGCACAAAAAGCGATATTTTTACATGTCCATTCTATTGATGCCTCACATATTTGTTCTGTGTTTCTAGCTATCTTCCTTTTCTTGCTTTCCTTATACAGTTTTACGCATTCGTAACCGAAAACCGCAAGAGCTGCCGGTAACTGAGACAATAGTAAATTTTATCATTGAGACATTTTATCAAACAGTTTGAGGGCATTTCAAATTAAATGGTTCATCTTTACAGACCTGTAGCAAGTTGAGCACCCAGTACAATGTGCTACAAGATGTTGCACCATACTGTAATTTAATGATTGCTAAAGGTTAATTAAGTTAAATACAAATTGCAAATAAAAATATATATTTATATATGTTATAAATGATACTTGCCTTGATGACTTGAAGAAGCAAAAAGCAAGTCCACAGAAGAACCAGGGCCAAAATTCTTTTTAAATTAAGGTTGCCCCTTATGATTTGCTGATGTTAAACAAACAATTAAACATTTAAAAACTCAATTAATTACTAATGAGAAAAAGATAATTAATTTGAAAAATGCTCACTAGTGTTGTTTTCTCCTCATTAGGAACCAGTGCTTCATACTCAACATCAATCAACACTGATCAAAATAAAATAATATTAATTAGGACAAACAAAAAAAAAAAAAAAAAATTTGATTAATTAATTAGAAGGCTGTAGTAACTGAGTTACTTTACATTGTCCATGAGAATCAGCAACTGTATGTTTCCTCTCTTCCATGGCTCTCTGCATTATTTTTATCCGTTTTAAAAAAAACTAAAATAAAATATCTCGATTAAAGTCGTGCATCACGACGGCCACCGAATTACACCGATCGATAAATTACCTTCAAAATAGTTTCTTTCTTCCACATTACAATCGCCTTAGCGAATGACCTAGACGACGTCCCTATGCATTTTTTAAAAAAATAAATAAAAAATAGTAAGGCTGAAATTTATCATATAACAAATATTGAATTAATATCTATATACATATGTACCTAAATAGAGGAAGATGATTAGGAGAGAGATAAGCCAATGTGGGAAGACAAGACTGAAAGAAACACCAACGGTGATGCCGAGCATAAGCAAGGGCTGGAACAAGAGAGCCAAATCATAGTCAATTATTGGCACGTGCTGTCTGCATGGATGTGGGACCCTCACGTTGTACCAAACTGATGATGCAGATGCTCCCATTATCATGCCTTCATTTTTTTTTTCCCATATATCACACATCCATCATTAAAAAAAAAAATTAAATAAATAAAAAATTATCTGTACAGTAATTTCAGTAGGGTTCATTATTAGACTTAGCTTATAATGTAACATTTCAACAAATATATGTTTATGTAAGATATAATATTATTAATTATGTATATGATTAGTTCTTACATTTGGAAATAGCAGCAGCAGACTTAGTATCAAAGCCAAGAATGAGAGTTAACATAGGTACGAAAATGCCACCCCCACCCACCCCCCCTACTGTTCCACATGCTGAACCCAAGAACCCTATTACACTTGCCAACACAACTCTCCACCCAAACCTCAATTCCTGCAAAATTAAAAATTAAATATTAAAAAAAATACAATCTTTACCAAAGTACATTAATAAGTCAAAACTATATATATACTTACAGGCCAAATCTTGTCTTCGGAGGCATATCTGATCTGCTGTAGAAGAGTGAAGTTTGAAGAGGAAAGACCAACCAATTGTTTTGAATCAACAACTTTATGATGTGAGTGGTAATAATAATTGATGAAATGAAGAGAACACAATGCTAAAAGAAAGGATGTGATGAGGTATATGAGTAGCCCTTTTGCCGCCATTAATTATTATTAATTGGTTAATTTACCCAGAATATACTCTTCCTCTTCCTTTGGTAAGGAATAAATGAAAAGATGCAGTGTAATATATACTGTCAGAAGAAAAAGATTGTCCTCGGTACTATTTAAGGACAGTGAATCTAGGGATGTTACTCGGGTCGGGTCGGGTCGGGTCCATGAAACGGGTCGTGTGTCAATAATGCATTAACAGGTATAGTGTAGAAGAAAAACATTGATTCGCAATTATGACGTGTAATTAATTAGTGGGAAAATCTTAAATTTACAATTATGGAACGTTAGAACTTGAGCCGTCACTCGTGTGTGTATTTTTTTTATTTTTTTATTTAATTTTTGGCTTTAGTCGTGTGTCTAGTTAATTGACTGGTCTTCATAGCTTTGACTTTGTTCAGAATTCATTTATAAATTGTTAAAAAATTATTTAAAACATAAAACGAGTATATATTATCACTATAGTCATTACCATGAAAAATAAGATAAATAATTAATAAGATAAATAAGATTTTTTTTGTTGATTTGAGAATCCATTAACAAAGAGAGACTAGGGGTGCAATCCGATCGGATCGACTTCCTTCCGTGTGTAATTATACTTTCCATTCCAATTTTCATTTTTCTTTTCAAAAAAATTAATTGAGTGTGCCTAATATTTCAATTTCTGAAATGAATATTATTATTTATTTAATAGGTACCCGGGAATTGGAAATATACCATTACATAATATGCGTTCCAAATATACTTATTATCGGATATATAAACCGGTGATGAACCGAAACAAAGACTAGTCAAAAGCCCAAATCAAAAGCCCGGCCCGCAGTCCGGAAGTACATACAAAAGCAAAAGCAAAACCAAAAGCAAAATAACCATATGCAAGTAAAAAGTTCTTTTTGTGTTAATTTTCAAACAGACAACGGACAAACGTTAAATTCACATCTTCCCGGGGCGATCCAGCCGTACACGTGCCACGCCCTCATCCGCCACCGCTCCGACGTCGTTGAACGCCTGCCCAGTCATCTGGTCCGTCGCTTTCAGTGTCGCAGCGACCCCACCCGCCGGAGTCTCCTCCATAACCACCGGAGTTCCCTCCTCATCCACCGCCAGCCTCCGCCCCCCCTTCGCTTCTGCTACGCCTCCATACGAAACCCTCGTCTCCTTCTCCTTCTCCTTTTCCGCCCCTGCAGTACCAGTGGAGTACGGCGTCAGCTTATCTTTAATAGCACCCAAAGCTCCGAATATTCCTCCGCCGCCGCCGCCTCTGGCTTCCGACCTCTCTGCATCGGCCCTGTTTTGTTCTCCTTCAATTCTCATCTCTTCCATCTTCCTTCTAGTTTCTTCCTTCGTCCCTTCGTACTTCTCCTACGTTCAATCCAAAATCAATTAAAAAAAAAAAAATAGAAACCACAAAAAAAAAAAAGCTCAAATTTCATAAAGCGGCAAACCTTGGCGGCTTCTGCAGTTTCGCCGGCCTTCTCTTTAGCAGCCTCACCAGTTTCCACCGCCGTCTGTTTGGTCTCCTCTTTCTTCCCGGTCAAATAACCCATAGCCCTCCTGGCCGCGTCGGCCGCCGAGTCCTTCAACTCAGTCATCTTCCCTACAGTTGTGTCCTTCCCTTCTTTCGCTTTCTCGGCGGTGTAATCCTTATACTCGCCGGCCTTCTCCATTGTTGCATCTTTGGCTTCTGCAGATTTCTGTACAGTTGTGTCCTTGGCTTGTTTTGCTTTCTCCACCGTCGCATCTTTCGTCTCCTTCGCTTTCTGGGCTGCGTAATCCTTCGTCTCCTTTGCCTTCTCCGCCGTGTAGTCTCTGTACTCCCCCATCTTTGCGGCGGTGGTGTCTTTAGCTTGCTTCGCTTTTTCAGCCGCAGCGTCGGCCGTTTCTTTTGTCTTCTCCGCCGCGTAGTCTCTGTACTCTCCCATCTTTCCGGCGGTGGTGTCTTTAGCTTGCTTCGCCTTCTCAGCCGTGGCGTCGGCGGTTTCTTTAGTCTTCTCCGCCGCATAGTCTCTGTACTCCCCCATTTTCCCGGCGGTGGTATCTTTCGCCTGCTTCGCCTTCTCAGCCGTAGCGTCGGCGGTTTCCTTTGTCTTCTCCGCCGCATAGCCCTTATACTCACCCACCTTTCCGGCGGCTTGTTTCGCCTTCTCAGCCGCAGAGTCCTTAGTCTCCACAGCTTTCCCCGCCGTGTAATCCTTGTACTCCGCCGCCTTCTTCGCGGTGGAATCCTTCCCTTCCCTAGCCCTCGCGGCGGCTTCCTCCGCCGTCTCGGTTGTCCTATCAGCAGCTTCGTGTGACTTGCCCATCACAGCTTCCTTAGCACCCTGAACTGTCTTAATCAAGCTGCCAATCACGCCGGGACCCCTCTCTTCCTGCCGGACTTCCGTCTGGTGGTAGTACTCCGGCTGTTTCTCCGTTACTATAACTTCCTTCTCCGTCGCCCTTCTTTCTTTATTCACCTGGCTGAGCTCGTCGGCGGCGACTCTCGCAGCCGCTTCAGCTCTCTCCTCCCTCGCCGGTTGCCTTGACGCCATTCTTTTTCCCCTACTTCCAGTGATTATCTGAATCGATCGGTATACAAATACAATTACAGTAGCAATTCGATTGTTTTTTGTTGTTGTTGATTTTGTTAAGCACGACGGAGGTGCATATATATATATATATATGAGTTGATTTAGTATTGTTTGCGGTGACACGTTGCATGCTGAAATTTGCTGGTCTTCTATTATCACGCCACGTAGAACATCCTAATAAAACCACCGTTCGCCACGTAGCACCAGCTTATGAAACGCAGAAGAGTGAGAAGTCGGTGGGCGGTGGCCCTTATCCTCATATAACATTTTAAATACTAGAAAATAAAATTATATTTGCTCAAGGATTAATATATCGGGAATATTCTTGTAATTTGATAAAATAAATATATATTATTCAACTGCTGGTCATTTACGTAATTAGAAATAAACCTCTTTTGTTTGAGAAATTACATATAACCCCCTCTAATTTATAAATTTCTCATATTCACCCGACAAAAGGGTGTTAACGTAAGACATTTACAAATTACAAGGGTATTGATGTAGTTTTTAGAAAATTAGGGGTTTGATTTTTAAATAGACCTTACTTCAGGGGGACGGTTGTAATTTACCCCTCTAGTATATATATAGTGGGCCTTGAAATTAATTGAAGGCCCAATTGAAGAAATTAATTTTTAGTCCTGGAAAATTAATTTAAACCGCCTAATTCAAAAAAAAGGTTGTCAGTGATCGTATTCGTTTTCATGGAGGCGGATATTGAGCCTTCTCAGCCAAATCGAATGCAGAATCATATGAAAAACATCGTATCTCTTCGGCGGCGAATTGATCTCAAAATGGCGCCTCATCTGAACCCCCCTTCTCTGCATCTTCATATACTCCTTTGAAGAAATTCCGGTCAATATCTTCTTCAAATTGGGGATATCTCTCACCGGAACAATCACCGCAAAAGTCTCCCAGTTCAGTACATCGCTGAACGGAATTACGTAACTGTCCTTTATCAGAACCGGCACGCAGCCCAGATAAAGCCCCTCCACCATTCTCGGACTCGCCACCTCGTACCCGCTGGGGCATATGCAGTACCGGCTCTTCCTCATCATCCCGTAGTAGGACATATTTTTCGGGAGGTATCTGTAGATTTGCACGTCGGGGTCGGTCTTGTTTTCCCAGTGCTCGAGGAGTATCGGCCGGATCGGTCCGTGTACTCCGCCGGCGTAGAACACAAGTATCGGCCGCTTGGACGGCGGCGGACCGCCGATAATGCCCTGCGTAGTGCCGCCCGGGAGATGGATTTCTGGTATGGACACGTCGCGGGAGGGGTCGAATCTCTCCGATGTGTTGGCGTTGCATAATGCTCGGATTGCGTTCTTGTATAGATTGGGGACTGCGAATGAGATCTCAGGCCCCTGCATTAATATCCATGATCACAAAGTTAAATTGCCTGCCAAGTGTTTGAGTTATTTCCTCACTGGAATTTTAAGATTGCCTGCCAAGTGTTTGATTTATTTCCTCACTGGAATTTTAAGATTGCACGCCAAGTGTTTGAGTTATTTCCTCACTGAATTTTTCTTACCCAGTCATGGCAAGCAAGCATGAAATGGTCAGCACCAAGGCTTCGATTCCAGTAAGGATGCTTCTGAGCAATGACATTGACGTAATCCGAAGCTGCATTTTTCATTAAACCCCATTCATGGGAATCTTTCACGTATATCACCTGTGTTATCATTGTTACGCTGAATGGAAGGAAGAACAAATGAGCTTTGTCTTGGTCCATTGTCCGAAATCTGCTAACTTCCATATTTGAAATGAAGATTCCCTCTATCGCATACGTATGCTTACAGGGACCGAAATGGAACACTGGTGGGTCCCCTTCTTCGTAAACAAACACCTTCATTTTCTTCTCCATTTCCAAATAGCTCCTGTTTTTATTTATATACATTAGTGAGAGTTTTTAATCGTGAACTTTATTGCAGTAAAATCGATGGTTTTTTTAGGTACCTGTGAAAGACTTTGGGATTCCAATACATTGGTCCATCAGGGACATAATCGGGATCGGGGTCTCGTGTTTCATTTCCACCTTTTTTGGCTTGGCTAATGGCGTCTCGGGTTTGTGCGAGATCGGCTTCCACCATCTCCAAACTACTGTATGTTCTCGTAAAATTTCGATACTTGTCTTCATTTCTTACCTGTTGAACTATTGATACATGATAATCCACATTGCATAAATTATTACACTAAATCGAGTATTTCGTAGATTCGTATTTATTGTATATGCCCGGCTTTTAAAATAAATAATCCCATTAATCAGAATGATGACAATTCTAAATAGAAATTTGATTAAATTAGATAAACAGAGTCTAAATAAAATTAACAGAAGAATAAAAGAACAAATAGTTTGTCTAGTGCAAAAAGTAACACTATTCCCATGCCCCTATAAGATTTAGACATGCCAACTTTTGTGTATTTAGTGGAAATTTTGTTTTTAATCAATTATTATATTAGTCCTTTTGATGCTATAATCTTTATGATAAACTATAGCTGGATAATAATTAGCCACAAATCCTCTACACGCTTAATAATATCTAAACATTTTCCAACATACTGAAAATGCAAATAAACTTTAATACTACTACCTTTGACTTGTAATTTTCCTATAATGGTTTTCTTCTCTAAGTCCATGAAAAATTAGTTGATTTTAATTGTGAGAGTTATGCAACATAATATTTTCATTATTCACCATCACTAAAAACATAGATAGTTAAACACTATGATGGATTACGTGATTTGATATTCTGAAATAAAAACAAGAATTTAAAAAAACTGCATGAACGTAAACAGCACAATAGGGATCGACGGAAAGATAGAAAACTTACTGGTTTTTGGTTAGATCCATCATCAATGGTAAAAGATTTCGTAGAGTCGTTGGAATTATGATATTTCAGAGGGGCATCGTTTAGAAACCTCGTACGCAAGTAATCCTGTAATAAGTAACTAGAGTTGGAAGAAAACATCGACACCTTAGGACCCACGAAAACCACCACCCCCGCCACCGCTGCCGCCAGAAGTGGTATCAAAAACCATAAATGCTTGTAACACAACGATGATGTCGAAGACATCGCTTCTTTTCTGAAACTCTCTCTCTCTCTCTCTCTCTCCCCCCTCTATTATATGAATCTTTTATGCTTGCTTCTTTCTTTATCTTTCTTCTTTTGAAAATTTGAAGTGAATTTTTGGTTGGGATTTGATTTTTGTATAAGTGGAGTTTGAGAGCAAAATTAATGGAGTGTGGGAAGGGTAAAGAATTATGGGGGCGTTATTTATAGCAGATGCTCCTATATATAAAGTTTTTCATGCAAAATATGGAAACTTAGTTATGACGGGTACGTTTTTCCTTCCATGCTTCGATTCTTTACCTTGTGCATGGTTCAATCAAAATTAATTTGATTTAATTAATTTTTTCCCTTTCTTTTTTGACGTGCAAGAAAGTCTTTAAATTAGGTATTTATTGTTATATTGGGTTTAACCAATCACTTTAAACTGTCTACTATGAACTTAAAAGTTGGCCCATTTTCTATATTCAATTGACAAGTTCTCATTTATTAGTTATTACTATATGAAGAAAATTAGCACCCGCAAGTTTAGAACAACTTTTTAAAGTCGATTGTATGCATAAAATAAAAGTATATTTACAATTATTTTATTAAAAATTATAAATTTTGTTAATACTATTTTATATTGTAATAATAAATCGAAAACATATGTATAAATTTAGATAAAAGAATAGAGAAGAAAATAAAAGTGGGAGGAGCAAAAACACATATTTATAAATTGATTGATTTTTCTTTTTTTTTTTTTGCAGGTAGTATTTTGATTTATGTGTAACAATTAAATTGAACTTATAAAAGTAACTGCTGAATATTAATTTTTCCCCTTGAGCGAGTCATAATGTGGACCGGCCAACTGAACCGAAAGGCGAAAGAAAAGCAAAAAGTAAACTCACGGATCACGACATCGTTTTACATGTATTCTTCTTACAGACAGTTAACAAAACACACAGGAAATCATTCGGGAGAAACTCATTAAAAATTTCGAGAACCAAACCCTAATTCGTCGTCCGCCGTGTGGACTCTTCGTTCGAATCGGCGGAGAATTATGCAAGATCCTCGTAAACACCAGGTAGGTCATTTTTCCTCTCCGATTGTTTCACCCAATCTTAACTCGGAAGGATTTCATAAGAAGATCGTTGTTCCTTTTCGTGATTTAAATTACATTTTTTCTTCAACTCTGTAATGAGTCTCGGGTTTGAATTCTCGTTCAGGTGTCGCTGCGTGGAAAGAGCGCCAAAGAAATTACGAGGGATGCCCTTCTGGAGAGGGTTAATCAAGAGAGGGAACTCCGGAATTATACCAGGAGGGCCAATGCAGCCGTAGTGCTCATTCAGGTAAAATCATAATATTGTGAATCGGAAAACCCCAAAAAACCAGATTCAAAATCATCACTCAATTATACAATTGGTTTACGTGTATTCAGAGGGTTTGGAGGCGGCATCATGAGATGAAATTGGTGGCACTGCGGCTGCGGGAGGAGTGGGAAATTATGATGAACAGTCGTGCTGGTCCTCTCACTGGAAAGCAGATAGCGAGGGAAATCTTGAGGCCGTTTCTTTTCTTTATAAACTATTTATCTGTTCGACGCGGGACAATTGGAGCCAGAGATAGGGACTGCATGATGAACTGCTTCCAAATTCTTTTGGAGGACATAACTTCCAAAGGTATGCCGTTCTTTGAATTTTGAGTTTATATAGTGTGGGTTGAGATTATGTATGATGATTGAGAATGGTTATTGGAATCAGTAACATGCAAGCCAGTTGAGACTTTGCGATTTTCAGTTAGGGTAGTTTGTAGGATACATGTTATTTAAGAGGATAACTGGATAATGACCAATCATGGATAACGCTCAGTTGGATAGTACTAAGTAAGACAACTTTCTATTATGCTCAGAGTTAGATGTATACTAGCTGAATATAGGAAAACCATTGGCTTGTTTATGCCAGACCTTGTTGTTTATGAGAAAGAATGCCTGGAAGGCCTTTACCAAAAATTTTGGTTGTTGTCTTTTTGATGAAGCAGAGCTGTCTCTGATGCACGACCATCTTTGACTTGCAGATGTACATCAGAATTTTTGCTCGATGGTAACAGGTTGCATTGAAGATAGAAGGATATGGTTTCAACAGTCAAAGAAGATGATTTCTATTTGCTTGTTTATTTTATCCGTGTTTGACTCCAGTCAAAGGGTTCAAAATGCTGTTCTTACATCAACAGCGATGCGTTTATCAGTTCTCTTAACTGATCCGAAAGGTTGGAATTGTATTAATGATGATGGACGCAAGGATGCAAATGCTGCAGCGAAAAATCTAGTACAATTTATTGGGAGTAAAAAAAGTGGGTTATATAATTGCATTAGGAAATTCATTTATAAACTGGAAGCTCCTTTTTCTTCTCAAGAGTTAGTATCTTGTCAGAAAGATGATATATTCTTGATAGTTGCCAGTGCAATAACTTTGTCTTTGCGGCCCTTCCACCTAACAAACATAGACATGAATGATGGTAGCATGACGGAGTGCGCAGTTGAGCAGTACTGCATCTCACTACTCACGATACCTTGGTTTCCCCAACGTTTACCCTCAATTCTTGCACCTGCTTTGAGACACAAGTCAGTACTATCACCGTGCCTAAGGACATTACTGGTAAGAGTTGGCTGTAATGAGAAATCTTCCAGTATTTTACATTGCAGCTAATAAAAACAATGAAACCATTTCCTTTTCTTGGTCAAGTGATTAATTTGTTGGTTTGAGCAAACTTCCTCAAATGTTATGGAATTTTCCTTAATTTATTGATTCCAAGTTATGTAATTCATTCTACAAAATATTTGTCAAAAATATTTGATATTTCCATTTTGGGAATTTTTAACTAACTTAGATTAAAGCATTAGGGGCTGATCAAACCATGGCAGGTGATGGCAGATCTCAAAAGAGAAGATTTTCAAGGAACTTTCTGAAGTGGATCAGTTGGAGTTGACATCCAAAAAGATGCCATGCGTTGGTTGGGCTCTTGCTAACATTATGTACCTTGCAACATGGAGTCATACTAGTGCAACCGACTCGGGAAAATTCGTTGAAGACTTAGACCATTCAGCCTATCTCCATGTAGTTATCATACTTGCGGATAAACTCTTGGCTTCACTTGGAAACTTTGAACAGATGACGAGGAAAACTGAAGAAACTCAAGTTGATAACTATACATCTGCCGTATCTGTATTTGAAATGGATGAAACAAATTGTGGGTTCTCAAAGCTGTCATATATGGACCTTTTTAAGCCTGTTTATCAACAGTGGCATCTTAAGAAACTCTTGGATTTCGTAAAAGAGGGCTTTGTATGTGGAACCGATGATCTTTCAATAGGCAATCAAACATATTCATGGAACTACAGATTGCTTGATATAGCTTATTATTATTCGTGCATGCTTCGACTATTTTCAGCTTTGAATCCTGTGCTCAAATCTTTGCCTGTCCTCAATATGCTGTCATTCACACCTGGATTTCTTTTTAGTTTGTGGGAAGAACTTGAAAAATCTCTCTTCCGGGGGAGAAAACAAATTGCCAATTCAACATCATTGTGTGCAAGTAGAGTGTCTGGAGATAAAAATGAAGGAGTTTCTGGCACGAGGCAAAAGGGATTAAATAAAGACGCAGGCAATAAATGGATCAATGTGTTGCAAAAGTTCACTGGAAAGTCACCTGCAGAGGATGATTACGTGGATTCAGTCACCAGCCAATCTAACTTAAAACAAATTGAGGAGCCTCCTTCGGATGAGTGGGACATTGAGCCTCTAAGACGAGGACCTGAAGGCATATCAAAAGATATATACCATGTGCTCCTGCTCTTTTGTTCCAGCTATTCACACCTGTTGTTGGTTCTAGATGACATAGAGTTCTATGATAAGCAGGTTATATATATTTATTTCTTTTAATTTGTACGATTACATTGTTGTTATTATTCACTTGAATGGAGGTAATAATTTTACTGTTGTTGTCAAATTAATTAGGTGCCATTCAAATTGGAGCAGCAGCGCAAAATTGCGTCAGTATTGAATACATTTGCATATAATTCCGTATCCCTTGGTATTAGCTCGGAGTACAGAGCTCTTCTGGATTCTGCAGTTCGATGCCTGCATTTGTTATATGAAAGGGATTGTAGGCACCAATTTTGTCATCCTTCTTTGTGGCTTTCACCTGGTAAAAGTAACAGGATGACGATTGCTGTTGCTGCTAGGACTCATGAAGTGTTTTCAGCGGCTGATGGAGCAACCTCCTCAAGCATGGGTTCCGTCATTACTACTATGCCACATATATTTCCTTTTGAAGAAAGGTAGGTCCAACTGTGAGTTTGTAACCAGTTAAACTGCTGATAGTCGAAGTACCACTTCTTTTATCAATCGGCTAATAGATTTTTTTGTTGCTTGTGCTACTGCCTGATTAATATTCCCGGGAACTTTTATCACATAGCTTTCCACTTTTTTATAATTTGCCAAAAGAGCCAAACATTCCAACTTAAGTAATTCCATAAAGTCAAAACTTCAGATTTTTCAGGACATCCGTGATCTGATTTCTCTAGGAATATATAACTGCAAATATATATGGATGATTGTTAAAGCCTGCTTTTCAATGGGGAAATAATTTATTTTATCCTGATTTTTGGTAGTAATGTATTGTTACATTAGTATTTAGTCCTTTTTAACTAGCCATTCTACCTTATGATTCCTCCTTGCTCTTAAGTTGTTGCAGTCATTAATTTGAAGTCAATGTCCTAGAGGCACTTACGGTCCTAGTATTGATAATGGGCATTCACACACCCTAAGTTAGTACTGAACTCATTTATGCTTTGTGAACTAAGGGATCTTGTGTAGTATGGTCCACTATCATTTCCTGAAATGTGACAATTAAGTTCCGGAAAATTTCTATAGGAGATCTTGTGTATCTTTTCTAACCGAGGGGGACATTGGATGACGTTATGAAACTTGGAATTAGTATTGCAGCAAATCTGTTAATTCCCCTGACCTATAGTTACTCTTGGATTTCTTCCAGCTCCATGTTTAGTAGTTTAATATTCTCAAGCCACATGCTTGAACATCATGAGTGGAACTCTTCTAATTTTTCTCTTTACTAGGTCTATCTAAAAACTACTCATTTTCTCTTTTGATGCCAAAGATTAATATGATATATTATTCCTTTCCAAATTTGGCAGAGTCAGAATGTTCAGAGAATTTATCAGCATGGACAAAGTGTCAAGAAGATTGGCTGGTGAAGGCACTGGACCTGGTTCACGATCTATCGAGATAGTTATTCGTCGGGATCGTATATTTGAAGATGGAATGCAACAATTAAATTCACTTGGTTCAAAGTTGAAATCTGCAATCCATGTTTCATTTGTTAGTGAGTCGGGGCTTCCAGAGGCTGGCCTTGACTATGGTGGGTTATCCAAGGAGTTCTTGACTGACATCTCAAAAGCAGCCTTTTCGCCAGAGTAAGGTGTCATGTGCTCGAATTGTTTTACTTATCATCATTTGATGGTTTCTGAATTGACTGCATCTTATTCAGGTATGGGCTTTTCTCCCAGACTTCAACTTCTGACAGGCTTCTAATACCAAATCCAACTGCAAGATTTTTGGATAATGGAATCCAGATGGTTGAGTTTCTGGGAAGAATTGTTGGTAAAGCTCTGTATGAAGGAATACTGCTTGATTTTTATTTTTCACATGTTTTTGTGCAAAAGTTGTTGGGCCGCTATAGCTATGTGGATGAACTCTTCACTCTTGATCCTGAGCTTCACAGGAATCTCATGTATGTAAAGGTGAATGCTCTATCAAACCTTTGCAATTTCATAGGAGAGGCAGCTTTCTGGCCTTTAGTGTGACATTTTTAATGTGAAGCTTTCTTTCTTGTGAAGCTTATAGAGAATGTGAATGCAATAAGCAGTTTTCAATGCTGGTGGTACCAGTGTAGTTAATTATAGGGTGGAACGAGAGTTAAAAGATGAGACAAAGGAGTCGTATTGGCACCATTCAATTTGCTGTGTACTGTTGCTTTGGCATATGATCTTGTTTTCAGACAGTTGAAAGTTTATATTTTTTTATTGATGTTTGAGTTCCTATCATATTGTGCATATATCTTTGTTGAGAAATGTAATTCTGTTACAAATGAGGTTGCATATGAATGTTTTTAATATTCTGATGTCAGATATGACTTGGCATGCAGCATTATGATGGTGATGTCAAGGATCTTTGTTTAGATTTCACAGTTACTGAAGAATCACTTGGAAAACGACATATAATTGAGCTCAAGCCGGGGGGCAAGGATATATGTGTGACAAATGAAAATAGATTGCAGTATGTTTATGCAATGGCAGATTATAAACTTAACCAGCAGGTATTCATGGGTATTCTGTGATTTTGCTGAAGTTTAATGCATGTAATTGTACATTACCTCATTGCCATCACTGTATTGCAGATACTTCCTTTCTCGAATGCATTTTATCGAGGGTTGACGGATTTAATATCTCCTTCTTGGTTGAAGTTATTCAATTCAAGTGAATTTAATCAGGTATTTTGTTTAATGCATTTTCGTCTAATTATTCCCTTGTCTTGTCTGCATTTGTTTATCTATTACGGTCTTTAACTGTCTTCACTACATATATTTCCTAGGAAGGCGTCTGCTTATTTTGGTACATATAATAGTAAATATTAGATAGTTATTGCAATTATACTCAAGTTGACCATCACCTAGTATATATACAGTTAATAGGTTTTTCTTAGTCATTTCTATGGAATATAGTCATTACACCCAGAAAAGAATTGCCAGACAAACTTTAAGCACATGGCAGAGGTGCGAACTTAGAAACATGTTTTTATTAGTCATTACTAATGTTGATGTTGATCTTCTGTTCAAGCTTTACATTTTATGAAGAATCTTGTAGCTTTCTATGGCGATAGTACTCATCTTGTTCGAAATATTTACGCTATATTATGACCAGGATACATTCGATTAATTTTTACGTGTGATATGGCTTTTACTTCTGTAGTAAACATCTTGTTCGTCCGCACTCCCCAAATGATGGTCATCAATTTTTGTTTGCAGTTACTTTCAGGCGGGGATCATGACATTGATGTTGACGATTTGAGAAAAAACACGCAATATACAGGAGGTTACAGTGACGGGAGTCGAACCGTTAAACTATTTTGGGAGGTAAAACCCCTGATGCAGTTACTGCACTACCAGCTTGCTAATTAGTTTCAAACATTTCTTATTGGATCTCAGTTTTCTGCCATTTATCTAAGGGGACACATAATATTCGAAGGAAAAGTATTGAGTATCCTATCTCTCTTTCTGAAGTATGTTCTAAGGATGTATTTAGGTTTACCACAACCTATAGATGACTAATGTTGTCTTATTGCCTCAATTGCATCACAAAATGCAGCTAAAAGCAATAGCTTTAAGAAATTCAAAAAGTAGAAGAGGTGTAAAGCTAATGCATTTGTTGCAGCAAGACCACAGCAGTTCTCTAACAAAAATCTGTACTATGCAGGACATACTTAGGTGACACATGTCTGTTAGAGTACCGATCTGGCCTTTGCTGTCACAAACTCTTTTCGATCCATCTCTTGCTGAAGTTCTTACAGTTCATTTTATTTGTGCGCTAAGAAATAGTAGATCTGCTGGATTTCTGGAACCATTCACTTTTAAATTCTAGTGTGTTTGATCGGGAGATTTTACTTGATTTTCCGTAGATGGATTTTATTTTTCATAGCTCTGTGCTTCTAGATTTGGCATTAATTCAAGCTTGAGTATCTGTTTAAATGAAGTGAGCATGCAACTTCATCATGATGCTGCTGATTTTGAAATTGTCAAATTTGTCCATCCAAAACTTGAGTTTCCGTTTTGGTTTGTTTGTTCATAGGTATTTGCAGGGCTTGAGCCTAGTGAGCGCTGTATGCTTCTGAAGTTTGTAACCAGCTGTTCTCGAGCACCTCTGCTTGGGTTTAAACACCTTCATCCGGCTTTTACTATCCATAAGGTAATTTGTAACCTTCAATCCTGGTTTATTCAGAACCATCAAATCTCTTACTTATTCTCGTTTTAGACATTGTGGCAAAAGAATTAGTCCGGTCTTAACAAATCCAATCAGAGAATCTGGAGCTGTTGGTATAATTAAAATAATATTTAAGTTAGACCTTCTATTGGTTTTTCTTCTTTTTTATTTTTCATTTGACAGGTAAATGACTGGTTTATCTGAATGATTTGATATGATTATTTGACTTGACCTATTTCAAATCGTTAGGTGATTCTGAATGATTTTGTCTAGCTACACTTGGTAGTTATGGCATAGGCATTTCAGAACCGTCGTACATTAATTCAGTTCTTTGCATGTTACGATTTAAATTCTTGCGTTGTATAAGTCAATGTGACTTTAATTTCATTCAGGATTTTTTCAAGAGTTTTGAGAAACTAGCATGTACATTTCATGTTATACCGAGGCGTGAATTTTGCATTGCAGTACGGATAAAAACTAAATGCTTATCCCAGAAGTGCTATCCGACTCATGAAATTCTAATAAATGTAGGTGGTTTGTGATGTTCCCCTTTGGGCTTCATTTGGAGGACATGATGTGGATAGGCTTCCATCAGCTTCTACATGTTATAATACATTGAAGGTACTCTTCAGAAGGCTATAACACTGGTCCATTTTTATGGCCACATAATCTTCCTGACCGAGCTCTATTATATTATGTTGTCAAGTTGCTAACTAATATTGTGTTCGTTTTTTTAATCCCATGTAATGGATACAGCTTCCAACATACAAACGTGCCAGCACTCTAAAGGCAAAACTTCTGTATGCCATTAACTCTAATGCCGGATTCGAACTTTCTTAGTAGTTTGTGACAACGGTATGCAACTTCTATTTAATGTTGATTGTTTTATTGTTATATTATGTCATCTCTTAGAGGCAAATTGCTGGGTGGTTATCAGTTCTACGATCATAATATCACCTAATATTATGTTTATTGTACCTAGTTGACTATACAAGCTTTTCTTGTTTCCGATAAAAAAAAAAAAAAAAAAAACTTTTATTGATTCAGATAGTACTGGAAAATAGTAGGAAACATTGAATGTCAAAAAAAAAAAACGCAGTGTCTGCCATGCTACTGCTTTTCGTTTCTCTATGAATACAGTTTATGATAGTGTATAAATGTCTAACAGAGACTTGAATATGCACTGAGCTGATAAATTTGACATCTTATGATGCAGAAGTACTAGTGTGCGTAAGGATCTTGCAAATTTGTGTCATTTTTATTGGGATTTTGGTGTAATATGTGCTAGCAATCAAAGACCATTGCTCTTAAAATGTTTGGAATAAAGTGACAGCAGCTGGTTATCATACCATAGGTCCAGTTCTCTTTGCTCCCAGATTGTATATACACATTGCTGTGAGAAACTTTGTAAGTAATCAAACGGACTTTTGCTGTATACACAGAACTTTGTAAGTAATAAACGGACTTTTGTGTTGTGTAACTTGGGAGCTGCAGCTGCTTCCGCACGTGTTTCATCCTTGTTTTATCTGTTAATTGTAAAAAAAAAAAAAGGGCTTGCAATATTCCAGATCTTGTGGTGGACAAAAATTGAAGTTAGTGTGCGTGAATAATTTTGCAGTCTGAATATGTAATTTAGTATAGCTGCCCTGTTCATACATGATACCCGAAGCAGCTAAGAACTTAATTAATTTGAATTGACGCATATTTTATTCTAATTAATGCATTCAAAATTATTACTGTTAAAAAAACACAAGCCTAAATACTGGAATTGGCCCAAGTTGATTTTTGTGCTAGAAATGGGGTAGTTTTTGGGCCTACAATGGGCCCATTTTGAACCTTAAATGATTTTTTATTTTGGACCTTTAGTGGGCCTCGGTCAAGTCCAAATGGCCTTGGTTAATTGTGGAGTGAGCCTGAAGCCTATTTGGCCCGTGGCTTAAATAAGAAATGGGCCACTGGTAGGCTCAAATTGATTTGAGTGGGCAATAAATGGGCCCAATATGGGCCTTATGTAATTATGGTCCTAAATGGGCTTCGGTTGAGTCCGAAATGGGCCTATGATGGGCCCATGTTGGGCCTTAAGTCATTTTATTTTGTCGGAAATGGGCCTAGGATGGGTCTATTTGGGCCATGCCAATTTTAGAATGGGCTTGGGGGCCTTAAGTGATTTTCTTTAGGTCGTAAATGGGCCTAGGATGGGCCTATTTGGGCCTTGACAATTTCGGAATGGGCCCATTTTGGGCCATAAGTGATTTTATTTTGGTCGAAAATGGGCCTCGGTTGAGTCCAGAATGGGCGTAATTGGGCCATGGCAATTTAAGAATTGGTCCATTTCAGGGATTCAGTGATTTTATTTTGGACCTGGTGTGGGCCTAGGGTGAAGTCCGGAATGGGCCTAAAGTGGGCCTGGGGTTTGATTATAAAATGGCCCATTTGGGCCCAAGTTATTTCTAGAATGGGATTGAATGAGCCTTTTTGGGCCAGAGGTGGGCCTGACTCTGTTTTAGAGTTAGCCTAGATAAGCATATTTTGGGCCTGGTTTAATTATTTTCGACATGGGCCCATTCCGAATAGTTAAGGTTCATCTAAAATGGAACACCTAAATCCACAAAATAAGAGCAGGGGTAATATACATAATTGCAACGACTCCCCTAAAATGACAGTATGTTTTCTAGAACGGATCACGAGAATATATCGACTACCAACACAACAATCAAACTAACTTATTAAGTATCACATCAGCATATTAAATTATTCAAAGCCAAATATAATGCAAATGTTGAAATTGGTCCAAAAGAGTCCCAACAGTCCTAAGCAATAAACTATGTTACACAAAAGAACCAGCTCTCAGGCAGGATGCCTCGGATCCTCTGGAAGCGAAAGATGAAACCTGATTCGGTTGCATAAGCACCGAAAAAGACAATAAAGGATAAAACACAAACCAAAAGTTGTATGTACATCCTCGTCTGCTCCCAATATTTGTTGGGGAACGAGCATTTTATTAGAAAGTCCACTTACAATAGCTTTAAGTTGGAACTGATTATAAGTTAACCTTTTTTTTTTCTTTTCCTTTTATTCCTTTTTAGATAGCCTCTATCATCGCATTAAAAGCTGAAATGCTTCATTACTGGTTTCCAATTCATATTCATAACCGAGACTATTTGCACGGCCCCGAAACTCACCCATCTCATTTTGAGCTACTTGGATACCAACCAACACATTTGCACCAGTTTCTCCCTATAGAGATGCAATTGAAAAAGTTAAGTGTTTTTGCAAGAAAAAACAGTAGAAGCAGAAAAATAATTGACGCAGACAAGTTTTGTAGATCATGACCTGCCCGCGGTAATGGAACAAACTTATATTCCAACGAGGACTCAAAGCATCTAAAAACTTCATCAAAGCACCAGGTCTTTCGGGGAAAATGAAACGGCAAAGCAGTTCGTCTCTAACGTTTGATCTTCCACCCATCTGAAATTGATCCGTACCAAAGTTAGCATAAATCAAGCACATAATAATGGCTAAGGGGCACTAAACTAAACATGCAAAGAAAATGGTACGACACTTCTAATCTTTAGAGCCCAAAATTTAGTTTAGTTGGATGGAGATACAAAATTCAAGTAGAGTTGATAATAATAAGATTAGTTGGTTACTTCCTAATTCTGAACTTTTATTCTGCTGCAAGACATCACATGAATAGCAAGGCACATGCTGCATAGAGATTGTTATGTGTCACCTTCACTTAGGGTGGCAGTGAATTATAATTTTGAATAATATTACCTACTATTGAAATTATAATTCACCTTCACTTTCTGAAATAATATTCTATATCCTATTGCAAACTGTCCAGGAACTTTAGATCAAGTGTTGGATGAAATGTATACAGTAGTTTAACTATGTGGGAAACAGGAAAGTACTATCATAAGAAGTAGGTTGTCAATAGAACAATATTCAAATCTCATGATTAATGGTACATAGCCTAGAACTTCATTCTGCTTAAACTAATCTCTATCTTAGTAAACTAAATTGTGGTTCTGAAAAGCCATAATTTTAATTTTGTATTTTGGTCTATGCATGCACTGAAAACACAAGATCAATCATGCACTTATATTAAAGATATTTATAAGAAAACTCATCAACACATAATCCAATTCATCCAATTCGGCAACAACTTTACAAGCATTGTTCAAATATTATAAAGAATAATTTTATCATGGGTTTATTATGATGTCCTTTGTTGCAGCTTTGGTTGAAAAAGTAACTAAGCCATTCATACTTACGAATATGACTAAGCTCACGAACTAGCAAAAAAAGGTTCAGCATGCATGTGTGATTTCTTAACTTACACGAACTGGGCTACAGGCATACATAGGAAGAAAATGAAAACAAGAAAAAACATAGTCTAAATAAGGTCAATAAAAAAATGAAATAGAGATTAAACAAAATGGTTCACAAGCACAATCAAGTCTTAGAAGTCATTTTGCATGAATATAAATGAAAAGAAACCTACCAGATGTCGTAAATGATCTTTAACCAAGTCATTTTCAGTAAGATTTATGGTCTTTAGTTGAGCTGATCTCATTCTCTGGACCATTGCGTCAAGTTCCAAGTCCGTGTGAAGGCCAACACTGTCAAAGAAAGTAAGAAAACGAAAATGAAACATATTTTGTCGTAATTGTAAAGCAGCAAAATATGGAAGGCCAATAGACATATTCTTTGCCCTTTTGCAAAATGAATGGAAGTACATAAAATATATCTTGCCTGTACAGCACTAAAGCTTCTTGTTTATCTAAAATGCATCTGTATTTAAATTCAGTAATATTCAACGGTCCCACCTGCAACCAAGTATTTAAACTTCAGAGTGCATCCTTGACAATATGAGAATCAAAGACCTGGATAAATTAGAAAACTCACAAGCTCGCAGAATTGTTTAAAGCTTCCAGGTTCCTCTTGTATGTAAGTTGCAAGGACAGCTTCCCGTCGCCTACCAACATCTGCAAGTTCAGTTACCAATCTCAATCTATCAAAGTTCATGTTCGCCCCACTGGTCACTGCTACTACGTTTGCACCCTTGAGCCCATAATACTTGCAGTAAGCTTCAGCTCCAGCTAGAGCAAGAGCGCCTGCTGGTTCTAAAATGCTCCTTTTCTCCTCAAACATGTCCTATACCAAGGAATCTTAGTGGTTAGCACTACTTTCCAACTTCAATGCCTAGAAAACCAACCGCATATTAACAAATTACTTAGTTGATAAGGCTAGTAATCATGAATACGTTTCCATCTAAATAATATGTGGTTTCTTAGTTTTATAAGTGTTGAATGACCACTTCATTTCAACCATTGTGGATGTAGGTGCTTTTTTGCTAGTCTTGGCACTCTGTTTGGTTGGGGAGGGGGTTGGAGGGGGTTAAATGTTACATGGGCACCAAGAGGGGGAGAATGCAAGAAAATTTATACGCTGATTTTTTTAGAGAAAAAAATAATGCATAATCTGACACCAACAATTTGCAAGAAAGCATCAATAATTAGTCCATAAAAAAACTCAGAAATCCAAACAGTAGCTAACCTTTATTGATGCACAGATAGCATCACGACCAACAAGAACTACACCGTCTATCAGTTCGCTGCAAAGGCGAAAAGTCTCTTCACCGACCACTTTAACTGCTACTCCATCAGCGAAACCTCCCACTTGGTCTAGCATAACTCGCTGGTCATGGTGCAGGGATAATGCCATTGCATTTGCATCAAATGGTTCAACTCCAATAATTTTCACCTCTGGAGAAACCCTTTTCATATAGGCAGCAATACCAGCTATAAGCCCACCACCACCTACAGGCACAAATATTGCTTCTATGGGGCCTTTCATCTGTTTCACAATCTCCATTCCAACTGTTCCCTGCCCTATGATTACATCAGGGTGATCAAAAGGAGGTACAAATGTGCGGCCCTCTTCTTCTGCTCTCTTTTTGGCATAAGTTTGGGCTTCATCATACGAGTCCCCTATGAGGACAACAGTGGCTCCAAGTCTCTCAACCGATTTCCACTACCAGTACCAAACAAAGGGGTTCAGAGATTGTGATAATCCCGACTAAAATGAAGGAAAAAAACATAAACATACATATGGATAAGCAAATGACCTTAATCTCTGGAGTAGTAACGGGCATAGCAATCACAGCGTTGCATCCCAATTTCTGTGCAGATAATGCCACACCTTGAGCATGGTTTCCTGCTGATGAACAAATTACGCCTCTTTCTAGTTGTTCCTTTGGAAGTTTTGCCATCATATTATAAGCCCCTCGAAGCTTGAATGAAAAAACCTGCAAAGCATATTGTTAGCTTACATAAAGTTTTACGCCAAATCTTCACAACCAATGCCGGGATACTAAAAATGAGTTTACATTCCTTGAAAAAACTTAATATTGGATTAGGTCCCCCCGACTTCCTCAAGATCATTAAAAAGATTGAACACACCAAAAAAAACGCAATAAATCATACGGCAACTAAGCTTTTCTAAACAGCAAGAATTGAGTTGCTCAAATAGCAGAAACCCCAATAATGAAAAATCATACAGTTATCATAAGATGAGATATTTCATACGCGCCTAATGACAAAACAATCTTAATAAATTTGATAAGTTGCACTGAAAACCCCCAAATAAGGATCCATTTCCTTGTCAATTCCAAAGTACAAACAAAAAGTTACGAAAATAAAGGACTACACTAGAAAGAATACCCAAGCAATCCACAAATTTAAAGACATTAAGAAGCAAATATTCCTAGGTAGAAATACAAAAACTGATAAACACATACACGCGTCAATTGAAATACATACAGGCTGAAGATCCTCTCTCTTGAGCCAGATATTGACCCCCCACCTCTCAGAGAGCTTCGTCGCGAGTTGCAGCGGCGACTCATAAGCCACATCATACACCTTCGACGCGAGAATATTCGTCAAATATTCCATAGCGTTCAGCGTACCCTCGGCAACAACACCTCTGCCTAAATTCTCATTCGGCAACAATCGCCCGCTCTCGCACTGCAGCGAACTCGGGGAAACCCTTAACAGAGGCACCGGCGCCGGCGCAGTCGACGGCAAAACCCTAGAAATATTATCGACCGACGGTAAAATCTCGACCCCTTGTTTGGACAGCGTAGCATAGATCGACGGCTTTAGACGGGAGCACTTAACGGCGTTGGAGGAGGATGTTTTGAAAACCTCGGTGTTAAAAAATCCGGCGTGGAAGGGGGATCGGCTAGGGGAAAAACAAAGTGATTCCATTATCAGAATTTCTAGATACAGATTTCGAAAGCCGATGTTTTCTGTCCCGCTTCAGAGGAGAAACGCGAGAACGGCGGAGTATAGTGTAGGGTTGCCGTACGTGTTAACAGTGGGAGGTTGGCGAGAGTTGCAGATTTTGGGAAGACGACGACACCCCTCCTCTCTCTCACACACACACTACTTTCTCTCTCTCTCTCTCACACACACTGTTGGGACAAATGGAATTGAAACGACGTAGGGCTTTGACGAATGACGATACAAATTCCAATTGCGACCATGAAATAGAATAATCCGGGGTGGAATTGCAATTATTATTCTTTTTACCGTAGTGTAACCGTAAAGTTGTGTATCTACGAGGGCTAAATTGCAATGCTTCTACTTGTACATATTGTTGAAAATGGATTTCTGCATTTCTGTACTTTCTTTTTTTTCTTCATATATGACAGTTTTTAATTGCACTACATATACACACATGCGTTCAACATACAATTTCAATTCATAGAGTTAAACAATTTTACAAAAAAAAAAATACTAATAATAATAATAAGGCTGCAGATATTTGCAAGACGAAAATTACTAAGTGCAAGACCTTACTTCATGCAAGACTAAAATATAAATAAATTTACTAAGATCAAGACTGGAAATTACAAATATAACCCCAATAATAATTTATATATTATTAATTTAAATTAAGTTAATTGCTATTGCAAGACCAAAAAAAAAATACAAAAAAAGAATAAAAAAAAAAAAGAGAGGGAACTCACTCACCCAACAAAACACCAACATCTTCTTCTTCACCCTCATTTTACACATTTTTTTCCACAAAAAAATCTTCCATATTCTCCAAAACCCTTATCACATAAAACCCTCAAATCTTACTAAAACTTGAAAAGAAGGACATTATGGATACACAAGACATAAATATGGAGGATTCTAAGGTCGAAGAACACAAAGAGGTAAGAAATATTGTATTTTGTGATCGTTTTTCTCGTTTTTCGCACCTCATTTCACGTACAAAAAAATCGACATGTACAGGTCGAAATATCAGCTTTATATCGACACTGCAGTGTCGAAAATGTCAAAATAATTCGACACTCATTAACTGTCGAATTATATTGAAATTATCGACATTCTGGTGTCGATATTAAGCGGATATTTCGACGCCAGTGTGTCGAAAATTTTCCAAAAAAACGACAAGTACAGGTCGATTTTTGTAAAACCGCAACTCCTTCAACAATAGTGCTACAATCGAACCCTAGAATCATCAACTATGTTCTAAAACGACTTGAATTCATTATTCTAACAATAAAATCCTGTTTATCACATTTATTTCTCATAAAAAAGTTCATTCAAAAAGTAATTGTTACTTG